ATCTATCTAAATTGATGGCCAGACTCGGTCCCAAGAACTTGGCAGCGAGGGTCGTTATTCTGTGTTGTATTCGGAATAACTGTTTAATATATATCTTTTTTTTCTTGATGCAGAATCTGACCCAAACGACGAACAATACAGCTAAAGAAAGAATTTACAAGCTGTATAGAGTTAAATATAGATTGTGAAAATTTACTCTTTTTCCCACTTTCTGTTTTTTTTTTTGTTTTTTTTTAGGGGGACTAAGGAGGCAGAGGGGTCTAAATACTGATACAGCGCTAATGACAGTGCGGACTGAGAAAGCTTCAATTCGTCGTTTTCATCCATTCTTCTCCCAACCTGCGATCGGGCGTTCTTTTTTGAAAACAAACCCCTGATCGCAGGTTTTCTTCTCCATACGAGCCACCTAGTTGTTCCATTTTGAACACAAGATGCTGCTCCTCGTCAAATTAAAACCAGAATTGTCGAGTTAAGCATTGGAGGAGGCCAAAGCAACTTTAATTTAGTATTGTCTTTATTTTTTAGCTACGACGAAAAGGCTAGTGTTTTGTCGTATCAGTAGGACAGCTCGGTTCTGACTGCCGCTTATACTGCGCATGCGGGTACAGCCAACGTATGCAAGGCTCGACCTCGTTCCCAGGCTCTTTTTTCCTCTGTCTCCCTTGTTGGCAACGAGTAAGGGAGGCAGAGGAGAGAGAGCCTGGGAACGAGGTTGTGCTGGGCTCCCTACGAGCGGCCACGTCACCTATCTACCTGAACCGGTGGGGTCTGGGCACATGGAAAAGATTACTCTGGAGACACACGATTTGATTGGCTAGATGTCCTAGATTCTTGGACTGAGATTTCCATAACGCTGGCTCTCCCCAAAAATATTCACTTGTAGATATCTGCCTAAAACCGTTCAATTACAGCACTTAACCCTTCAGGAGAATTGAAGTCCTCCATAAACAAAATTTATCAAAACCAATTCCAGCCAGAATTTCACCTTTGTTTTGAACTTCCTTTGCTAAAATGGGTTAACGTCCTCGGTGTTCTAATCAAATCGCTTTAGTTAGAGCTCAATCAGTGCACATTTTTGGGCATGAAACGAGGGTTAATAGTCCAGGAATTTAGCCAACCAAATCAAAAGAGTCCAGAGCCACCTTTCCCTCGTGCCAAGGTCCCGTCGGCGAAGAGGAACAGGCAACACTGGGGACGAGAAAGGATGAAAAATACGCTGTGATCCAAGCTTTCTCGATGTAGAGACTAACAAAAGTGATAAAAATAGAATACAATAAAATAGCGTTTGATACAGTTGTTTGTGTTATAGGTTTGAAAAACGTTATTTTTCCGCGTGATTATTGTAACTTTTTTGGGGGGGCGGGGGCGAGGCGGGGGTGGGGGGGTGGGGTGTGGAGTAGTTATGCAATGCCGGCGTTTGTCAATATACAACTTGAACAGAGACCTAAATCAATCCAGTTCTAAAAATTTAATGCAAACCCTTGAATGAATGAATGAATGAATGAATGAATGAATGAATGAATGAATGAATGACAACTTTATTTAAGTCTCAGTCTTAATAGCTGAGCACAAGTGCTCTACTAATTGGGGAGACAAAAATATAAAGTAAAATGTATTCACCTTAGATTTAGTAAAATTAAGAAAATATTAAAATTGAATCCAAAAAAGCAAAACTAATTTGTTGCTAAATCAAAACGCCGCTGCGATGATCGAGAATCCATGCAGTTTGAAGTTCAAATGAAACACGCGGATACACATGCCAGCTAGGCAACTGGATTAGATGCTGCCTAATCTGGAAATAATTAAGTGAAAAAAACAATGCGAAATGCCAGATTGGACAAAACTACAGGTCGAGTACAATGTGTCAGTCAGCCAAAGATATTTTTTGTTTAATTCAATGTAGCTGGATTTGGCGCGCAAGCGTTTGTTTTGGCGGTGAACTTTGCACCTAGAGTTTACGCCATTTATCATGTAATATATCAAACACGAAAGAAAGTTTCATCGGGATATCCAAACAACGAGAAGAGAGTTGAAAATACGACGCGCAGCGGAGTATTTTTAGGCGAAATTCGAGGTGTTTGGATAGCCGATGAAACTGTGTCGAGTGTCCTTTACGGTTGTGATTTTCTTTGTTTTAACTTGATCAATTATTAATGAGTTTGAGAAGTAGTGAATTTCTAGTCGGGAAGCCGTACGCAGAGTGGAAAAAAGGCGAGGAGATTTGGGAGAGAGATTGTGGCTCTGAGAGCCGTTTCAGAGAGCCGGAAGCTAATCATCTTGAAAGTAGAATAATTTGCTTTCTTTTTCTCGGGGTGTTTTCTAAAAGAAATAGAAAATATCTTTCGAGTTGTAGCGACATGAGTGGAAGTTTGGGAGAACGAGAAATGCTGTAGGGACACGATCCGACAGGCGAGTGTTTCATTTGAACAGCTTTTTCCGATTCTCACACACTTTCGCGAATGTTCCTATAACTCGAAAGAAACGCAGAAAATATTTTCTAGTTGTTTTAGGAAACACCACGTGAAAAATTAAGGGGTGAACCGTTTATTTCGAATATCAAAATGTAACTTCTCTTTGCTCGAGCCTGCGTTACGTACACAGCAAAAAATGTCAAGTTCAAATTGTATCAATAATCGGATAAAAAATCCCAGATTATAATGCCACCAAATATGGTGCCGGCCGTTTGCTCCTGTAGAAGAATATCTTTTGCGACAGTAGTAAGCCAATCAGAAAGTCTCATGGTAAAATTATGTCATTTTTTTGACAACTTTTGACGCGCGAAACCGTGACTTCGCCTACTACTGCCTTCACACACGAGGTACTGGCCGAGACACGGGTTTCATAAGGGCCGATATAAAAGCCAAGTAAAACGACATTTCTTACCCTCTTGGACATTAACTAAAGATTCAGGTAAGCACTGAAGCTTCAAACGCCCCAGCTTGTGTTAGCTTAAACTTGGAGTCAGCTTGGCTGAGTGTTAAGGCTCGTTAAGTCTTTTGTCCTGCTAAAAGTTGTATTTGTTGTGAGCTTAGCTCGTCCGCCTTGTATATCACTGACATAAGCGACTGCTGAGTTGGGGTTTTTACAGCCATTTGTTTGTTTCTTTGGTTTTTTCTTTGCGTAAATTCCCCCCATATGCAAGGCCTTTCAGGCACTGACCAAGGTTGTAAACACAAGTTTAGCTTAAGTTGATTTGACATTTACTATTAGATTAATCTACAAGATACTGAGAAGTACTTGAAACCATGGATAGTCAAGAGACTGGAGTCTTCTACTACCCATGTTGAAACTTAAAAGAGCTAAGCTAACTGTTCTCATTTGAAAATGAGAACAGTTAGAATTCAGGTCACTTTCAAAATGTCGAACCACAATCTTCCCGAATGATAAGCTGTTACTGTACTAATTAGAGCATCCTTTCCAGGAAAAATGCAGAGAAAAATGTAAAGTCCTTTTTTTGTGGTAAATGGGCATCAATCACCGACGGCATTCAAATTTCTCAGGAGTGATGTCATCTTTTGTCCTCCTTGAGTTTTTGTCACGTAATTTACCCGCCTTCAATTTGAACGGGAAATTTTAAAAGAAGATATTAAGTTTCAGAATTTTGCTACAAATGAATTGAAAAAAGATAAAAACCTGACCGGAATATATTAGTTTTGTTAATTATCAAAGCATTTTAATACATTACGTCATTACATCAATTATAATAATTGCATTCCTGTGTTGATCGAAAGTTTTCTGTTTGATAGCGAAAATGCATGGGAGAGCTTGATAAACCATAGCCGCATTCTTCCTGAAAATAATGTTTAAGATGTGGTACACATTGAATTACTTCCAAACTCGTCGGTTAGGCGGCATTAGAAAATAAAACGTCGAACAACTCGGCTAAAAAAATCACTGATTCCGCCCGCTGAAAATCAAAGTTGTCATACTTGAAAAAGTTCGATCAATTACAATAGACGTGAAAATCTTCTGAGGGCGGTACATAAGGGAAACTACAAACATCACGCACGAATCCACTCGTAGTGACTTTGTTTCTGTGGAAATTTATACGGTGTATTGAGAGTCTTCTGGCAAATTGTAATTGGGAGCAGTGAGGTCAACCAGTTTTAGCTGATTTTGTGATCGACAAAAGGAAAACAGATAAACGCTTTTGTATTAAACGTTCCTCAAGTCAGTCAGGAGATTATTGTAAATTTTCGTTTACAACCCAACTGATTCAGTCCTTTTTTTCAAAAAAGAAAAATATGTGTGCATGTTGGCGGTCTTGCGGAAATGAAAGCACTTGAAAACAGTTTCCGAGTTAGTTTTATAAAGCATTCTAAGACGGTTTGCTGAGAGAAAAATAACATCAAAGATGAAGCGTTTCCGTTGATTAAACTTGTCATATAGTTAAGGGAAATTTAACTTTCTAAAACAACCCACCGTCAGTTTTACCTTTTATGACGTTTATGGGTTTTATGAAGTGAACGTCGTACCAGCCTTTTTGAGGAAAAAAAAGAGGACTTTTGATCAAAAATGTCTTGGCGATGTAAACTCAACAATTCGTTTCGGAAACTTGCCTTTGAGACTACAAATTCCAAAAAGGATATTGTTCAACAATATTTGGAGAACAAACAGAGGGGAAAACAGTATCTAAACAAAAACCCGCGGAATAAAACTTGAAAAGAAAGATCCATGAAACACTGTGTTCTGAAATTCCTTTGGAAAGGACTAAATGCAATTGGATTTTGTTATTTGGGTGAAAAAGGTGAGAGAATAAAGAACAAAGAGATAATTTTCTAAAGTATCGTAAAGCACAGCTAGTATCTTGATTTCGCTTATCGGCCCTCCGGGTAGTTGGTTTTTGTTATTTCTGTTTCAGGTTATTCGCTCGCCCGTTCACAAATGGCTTCCGAGACAAGGAGTTTAACTTGTCTTCAGTCACGTTGTTTCACATAGAAATGTTAATTTTGAAACTAAATATTCCGTTTGTTAATCTGTTCGAAGGTCTGTTCATTTTTGCGGCACAGCGGCAATGAAACCGCAAGCGATTGGTCCACCATCAACACAAGCAAGTTAGAAACAATGGTCTTGTTCACCGAGCGTGAAAAATGACAGTGTGGACTTAATATGAACAACAAAGGACCTGAATTTACTTCCAGTGTACTTGAACTGATTTACATGCACTAATAGGTTATGCTAATGCTAATACAATCGAGTTTACTATGTGAGATCATCGGTTCCTTTGTATTCGCGAATTTCTCAGCGAGTTCTTTTGTTCCGTGCACGTGAGCATACATGTTAGCACCTCTGTTTCAAATATATTTCTCACGTTCTCATTGGTCCCGATATAAATTTTCCACGCTGTGATTGGTTGTTTGTTAATAGGACACATGAGACGTAAGGGGTATTTAAATATTCGCGGTTGATGAAAGTCAGGGTTTTTAGTGACAGCGTATTTTTCCTGCTAACAGAGGTCTGTGAACTTAGAGCGCTCTTTTGTCGATTTTCTTGCCATAGGAAAGCAGCTTAAGGCCGTCTCTTGCCCTCAACGATCAACTGAACGCAAAGGTGAGTCTTTTAAACTGCTAATCAGTCGATTTAGCACGCTTAGGGCATCGAACTGGTTAACTTGGAAGATGGTAACACAAACCGTAGATACGGGTTGTATTCAAGAGCTGAGGCAGCTCGTTTCTCTACGAAAATAATTCTAAGGAAAATGTGATCTTTAAGGAAAGGGATTTTAGTGTCTGTAGCTTGGACTCTTCTCATTCTGATTCGCTTCTGATCGCGTGAATAAACCGCATGGAATATCATAAACACGGGAACGTGTTTTCTTCGAAGCTTTTCCATAGTTTATCGCTTTGCACTATAGCAAGGAATTTTGTGTCCGAAGGCAGCTTATCTGATCGCTATTTTGGTGGCCTTAGCTCTCTCGGTAATCAAGCTTCACATTTCCCGACCGAGAATTTATTCTACTCGATAATCGAAGAAAAATTCAAATAATTCTTCGATATGGTTTAAGTTCTTTGTGGGCGATCTAATACATATTCACAACTTCTTACAACAAAGATGGCACATTAAGAGCCAGTTTGCTCGATTTTTAAAGCTTTCCTGGCGGAATTATTGGAAAAAATCTCTCGTTAAGGTTGTAACAGCAGCAAATACATTAAATGCAACAAAAAAACGCTACGCGGAATTGCGCTTAGCTCACAGAATTCACCGAACGTTTATTGTTATTGTAAGGAAATCTTTGAGGCGTTGAGGTGAGAAGAACTGAGTTGTTGAAGGAATAACTGCACATTTGTAATTACTTGATCCTTTTTCTTAGGGTATTTGGATGGTACGATCATAAACATTTTGCTCTGCAAGTTTTTGATTAAATGTGCCATGGAATTTTAGGCTAACGCCGAGCAAAAGTTCTAACTGATGTCTTCATGCATAATTCTGAAATGCCACATGTCATTGCAAATTTGGTATCAATTTTTAATCTTACATGTAAAATACAAGGCATTGAAAATTCAGGAAAAATCACCCTCGAAAGCTTCTACAATTCCAGTTGACTTACATATATACAGTACCTTCTACTAAGGCGCTTTATAATAACAGTTCAGACGGCTATGAGAAGCAGGGATCGAAGCAAATCTTGCAGTGCATTTTGATGTTAGAAAATATTGTGTGGTTCTTGCAGGCGGCTTTTGGGGGTAAATTGTATAACTCTGATTCTTTTTATGAACATTTTACTTAAGTTTAAGATGAAAAATGACTGTAGTATTTCTGTGGAGATCACATCGCTATTCAAGTCAAGTAATTCGAAACGAAGATGTCGCTCGAAGACCTCTTGAATCTTTCGTGCGTATTGAATTTCTCGAGGGATCACAACAAATTTTTATTCTGCAGGGTTCAAACAATAAAAATAAACCATGAATTTTAAAATATCGCTTCTAAATTGGCCAAGCCTTGTAGGAGTTGACCACATTACCATATGAATAAAAAAATCGTTCTCTCAGAATTTTAAACAAACATTTTCGTAAGGTTTTACTCCAAGTGTTGCTCCAGCGCGCTTGTATCAAAGAACTACATTGTAACGACTGGAAAAAGTGGTGGGACATATAGCTTATAACTCTTCATCTTTGAATTTTGTACCTTGTGTGGGCCCAAGAGCTCTCTTCATATCTCAAGCATATGAAAATTATATCAAATTTGGTAGTGTTCACTTGCACTGATGAGCCTGTGGGTTAACGTTTGAAAAAGTGCACCCTCTGGCATTTGTGGCACGGAATCATATAGCTTTCCTTTCACCCACTTAGTCTCGCCTGCTCATAGAGATCTCATATGACATTGTAATACCCTGAGGAGAAGTTTAAGTTATAAATCCACAATTACATTTTCTTGGGTCAAATTCGAACTGCTAATTTGCTAAAAAAAAAATTGCTACAATTAATGGAAGATAATTTTATTTTAAGTTAAACAATATCTGCAATATTTCTGGATAACTTCTTCTGTTGTTGTCTTGCAAATCAGGGTTTGATATATTTAAGTAAATTAAGTGATTAATTCGAGAGAAAATTCTGGTCAGCTTTAAGAGGATTATTAATACAAAATGCTTGAAAAAAGTGTTTGGATAGTAACTTGAGTACATTTTTTCTTTCATAAAGCTCTGTAGTGAATAACTATTAAAAGTGCTTAACCCATACCCTTTACCTCCTCAGTTGCTCCTGAAAGCCTTCTTCTTTATCACGAGAAGATAAAATGCCTCCAGGAACAAAGAAAAGAAAGACAGAGGACTGTTGCCATGGAAATTTTATCAGTGGTAGTCCACGCTATGTGACAAGACTCTTTCTCAGAGAACGACGTGCGAGTGGAATTGAAAGTATAGGCCCTTACTTTGGTAGTCTGCCTCCGGAGATGTTAAACCTTTTGTTCTCTTATCTTGACGCCCCAGCATTGTCATCCTTAGGAGCTTCTTGCCGAGTTCTAGACTCTTATGCCAAACGCATGTGGAAACCTTTGTGTACAAGACTTGGCCTTACTCACAAACCCACAGTATTATGTGTTGCAAATCCTTTGAGTGAAGCATCCACGTTTTCATATGATAAGGCAGTTGAACTTTGTAGAGGTGAGAAACATTGGGAAATAATGGCAATGCGGAGTTGGTTGTACTCTAAGTGGAGGTGTGTGGTGTGTTATCGTAACTGCTCCCACAGGGTGGATGTCCATTTTGATGTGACTCTCTGTGATGGTTGTCATCCTTTGTTTTACAGACGCAAATGCCACGCCAAGGTTTGTAGAGGATCTAATCTTTTATGGTTAAATATTATTCACAAGTGTATTGAGACTCCCTTGTACTTAACAAATCGTTGAAATTACAAGAGAAAAGGAAGGGGGTACATGTAGAAGTCAGAAATCAAAGGTACCCTGTATACGCATAATGGTGAGTGGTACTATGGGCATGTTAAAGACACAGAATGGTGAAACAACAAAATGGCACTACAGTAGCATTAATAGTGCTCCAGTTAGCTAAATTAAGTGGTGCTCGGATTAGCCTAAATATCGCTGCTCGACAGGGTTAACCTTACAGACACACATATCCCACTTTGACTCTTACCCATAGAGCCATTTTGCCATTTCATCATTGTGCAGTTCTAGAAAATATCCATACTCCCCCCACAGAAGGGTTTGAAATGTCCTGGGGGTGGAGGTTTCTGTAAGACCAAAAAATTTCAAGAAATGTATGAAGCTTAATTGGAATTTCCAGCATGGTGGGGGTTCTTAGAAAAAAAAAATCCCTTCTGTGGGGGAGGTACTGAAATTTTCTGGAACTCCCTGGCACTGTGGTGGCAGTGAAGAATGGGATGCAAGCACCCTGGCCAGACTTGGTCCAGATTTAGGCACTGCCTTGGGTAACTGCAGTACAATTTGTTTGTTGGGCAAGACATTTTACTTTACACCTGATAGTTTGCTCCCCTCCACCCAGGAGTCAGGGTTGTTCAAAGTAAAATTAACGTACTCTGCTGGCTACCAAAAATCATGTGCACTATTTACTTAATGATGTTTTTAAGCCAGCTACTCTACTGCCGTACTTGAACGTTTGATTTTTTAAAAGAAGATTACAAAATCAGTTACTTATTCCCCACAATAAAGTCACCTAATTCATTCTAAACTTTGTGACAACCATGCAGTAGTATAAATGTACTGTGTAATGTACAAAAATTGAAATCTGGAAGATTGCCAAATTTACTTTCTTGACTCCCCGAAAAGTTGTTATAAGTAGTGCTCTGCTAATTCAACCACAAAAATGCATCAGTTAAAAAAAACTCACTCAAATCGATGAAAATATGTGGCTACGTGAAAATGTTAGTTTGTTATGCATTTTCCGTTGTATTGTCCGGGAGATTAATGGTGATCTGTGTGGGAGATTCAAATGTCTGTCTCCGGGTGACTCCAGGATAAACTGTGAGAGTTTGCATAGATGTGCATTGGGCAAACTGGTAACCACAAGAAAATCCCGAAAAAGTGCTGTCAAGGACAGAGTAACCTGTGATGGACTTTGCAGTTCCCTTTTAGGAGCTAGTTAATTAATCTTACTACTATCTGTCTTCTCTTGTAGGAGCAATTCAGTCTGACAGAAAGAGATCTCAGGACTATAGACAATGACTCTTATGAATTCTTAGTATCTGACCTCATAACTATTGCCAGAAGAAAATATGGCAGTAGGGAAGCACTACAAGAGAGACTAAACCACAGACAACGACTGAAGAACATGAGAGAAGCCGAGAAACAGTGCGCCTTGGTTCAAAGGGAGAGAGAAGTTTTAAGGGCACTGGAAACCTTGAATAGCTCATACAGTGAAATAGAAACTGTTGATGCGCGTTGTATGCCGTATGTTAGCACTCCGGCAAGCTATCAGTACCATCCACAGCAATCTGCAGAGGATGCTGCTAAATGGCTCATTGGGTGGAAGAACCGACAGGAGACGCGACACAAGTTGTTGATGGCAGAAATTGAGGCAAGGTCATCACGATGCAAAGGCTGCAGAGCACGCTATGATTACCGGTTAGTATATAATTGTCATGGCAATCGATTGCTGTCCCACTTTGAGGCTAAAATGTAGAAATATTGAACAGACCATGGTTGGGTTTTGTTCAGGTGAACCAGTCCTCCAACATTGACCAAAAAATGAGCAAGGCCAATGTTACATACAGTTGAATCCCTAGCTCAGAGAAAGGGGAGGTGGCCGATTAATAGGGGTTGGCCACCTTATAGGGGTTTGCATACTTTGAATATATTTTAGATTGGGTCAATTGCTTGGTGAACAACCACGTCAAGACAATTATAATAAACTTATGTTTGATTGTTTTTATCTGTTGTCGAATTCTGTTTATTGGACTTTTATCTGCCATCTTCTTTTCCAAAAGAGAGCAAACTATGCGTATCATTTCTTGTGGCTGCTTAAAAGGGGCAGGGACAATAGAAAACTCACTCATAGGGATGACCAAAAATGTGGCTGCTTAATAGAGGTTTGACTGTATACAGTTTAAGTAGACCAAACATGCTTGTTCTATAAGATTTTTAACAGAAAAAGGCTGCTAACAGTGACCAGCAACCTCTGAATGGATGAAAGCTGGACTAGCTGCTCATTCAGGCCATAAGATTGAATGATTCAGTTTTGTCTGGATTGAACTCTTGCAAAACAAAATAATTATTAAATAACTTTTTAAATTAATAGACTACTTGTAAATTGTCACACATTCATAATACATACTGGCCAAGAGAGTCCACAAATATGTAAAGAACTAGCCAGCTGAACAGGCAGATTAGCCGGCCGCAAAGTCTGATACACAAGCACGAAGCGCCTTTCGCTCTCTGCCCCACTAATCCGCCTGTTCTGCAGGCTAGTGAAAAACATACCAGGCCTCTGGAAATTACGTTTCTTTTGCAATTACATTGGATTATTTTCTAAATCACACTGGAAAAACTTGTCCGAGTGTGTTTGTTTCAAGTTATATAAAATTTAAAGACTGAATCACTTGACATGAATGATGTGGGAGATTACTCAGGACAATTTTATTTTAGAAACAAGTCAAGTATACTTCTCTTGCATCCACAAGCTTCCTCTTAGAAAACGTTTTCTACTTCTGATTGAAATTAACGTAATATAGTTAAATTCTCTTAGTTCCGATCTGAGGAATTCAAAGGTCCAATTGAAAGTAATTTTATAAATTTATGCAGATCTCTCTCCAGGCTGCCCTCAGCAACAAAGTGCACACATGTTCTAGAAGAGAATGCAGCAAAGTTGATGGAAGCAATTAAGGACAACTTTCACCACGACATTGTTCATTACACTCGGCACGGACAGTTGTCGATGGAGACAGGCGTGTATGACATGGAACATCGTTCAGCTCAAGAGCTCTTCTTGAGGAATGAGAGAAGAACAAAGTTGATGGAGGAACTGAATGCTAAGAAAGCTGAATGGCCCTCCATTCTAAATGGTAAGTGTAATCCAGGCAACACCTTTGTTTGGCCTTGAAATAATATTTACAGAAAATAGAGCACAAACAAGTGAATCAATTGTGGAGGATCACAGGCAGGGTTTGTCAGTTCAGCCAATAGGAGCTGCTCACACAGAAACACACAGACAGCCATTACACAAAAATTTTAGTCTATAACTTTATTTCACTAATTTTGATTGGTTCGTTGAAAGATGCACTCATATTATTCATTGGGGCAGAGGAAGAAATCAATTTTGTAGGTAAACCAAACTCTTTCATTATTATTAATAATGACTAAGAGTGTGTATTTGAGAAGTACCGGCCAGGGCTGAGCATGCTTGATGGGCCCTTGTTGTGAACTTGTTACTGGTGTAAAGATCGAGACTAAAAGTGAATCAAAGCTGTCAGTGGAAGATTAATATAAGATGCATATGTACAAGTATTCTTTGAATCTGTTTTTCTCAAACAGGACAGAAAGATGCAATGAACTGTAACTACGCCCAAGATTTCATCTACAAGGGTGTCGCTGTAATGGACAGCGATGGAAATAAGTGTCGTCTGCGTAATGCCAAGGATGTAGCCAGGGTGATTTTGGCGAAGGCTCATGGATGGGATTCAAGATATACAGAAGTGATGAACGAGTTGGAAAAGAAGGGATTTGTTCCGCCATTTGACAAGCTGAAACTCGAGGGCCATTTGTTACTGGATGACTTTGTTGAGAGCTCTGTAGTGGTAAGCATTTACTACGCACATCTGTGTGTGCCATTGTCTAACCATACAGACGCATGGTAAAATTGGACTTTTCCTGTCAGTTACATTACATTAATGGGATCATATCTACTACACACATCTGCGTTCGAGTGTCAATCCATCCCCTCGATCGCACTCAATTAAAATCTTGATCAACACTTGATCAACCTCTCCATCAAGGCTCAGTTCACACTCCGTCGACAGTCAGTGCAGTCTGCAGTTGACTAAGTTTCGCAGACATGCCATTGAGTGTTGATCGATGCCTATGAGTTAGTTGTCAACTGTCATTGACCAACTGTCTATTGAGTGTTGATAGAGATGTTGATCGGGTGTCAGTCTAATGCTGACAGAGTATCAATCGAGATGTGGATCAAGTGTCAATCAAGATGTTAATGAAGTGTTGATCATGGGTATCGACTGAAACTCAACCACGGATGCATTTAGCACATGATTCCATTAAATGTTCCTGATTCATAATGAGGAAATTTGCACAGTCAATGGAAACATGGAAGATGTTTTCAATCTATTTCTAGAATACAGTCATCTAAAGAAGTATGCTGTAAACACTGCAGCTCTTTTTGGGAAGAAAAACTTCTGTCAGTAAATTAAATTCATTATGTATGCCAAGTTGAAATAAACAGGCCATTTCGGAGTTGCCTTTTGCCTCTGTGTCAAAACGAATCTCCGTGCGAAACCATTCATATGGAAATGTTTTCCACTAACATGTTCATTTTCATGCAAATCAAACACTTTTTCAATGAAAGGTTTTGCACAAAGACCCATTTTGAAACAGAGGCACAAGGTAATGACCACCTCTTGTAAGCGACCGACTCTCATTAGCGACCAGTTTTCCAAAATACCAAAAGTTTCCAAGTGAAATCGCTATATTTGGAACCTCTTGAAAGTGACCACCTCTTGTAAGTGACCACAACCACTTTTAGAGCTAAAAGTTCGAAATTTTCTTTTGTTTTTAACCTCCTGTAAATGACCACTTGACAGATAATGGAGCAGAAATTAGATGATAAGTTATTGTATCATTATTACATTCCTAGATAGTACAAGATCCAGTAATTTCTGAATGGAGAGTACCAGATTTTTTTCTTGAAATTGGCTTTTTACATAAATAAAATATCTAAGACATAGGGTAAGTCTTTGCAGTTGCCATATCCTAATTAGGAAAACTTATGACCCAATATGGTCTAAGCTCTCATAAGCGACCACCTCCCGTAAGCGACCAACTAGGCTTGACTTTTTGGGTAGTCCCTTATGGGAGGTTTGACTGTATTTAAAAGATCCTATGATCAACAGGTTCATGGTGACAACATCATTGCTTGCTCTGCTGTTGAAGTCGCTGACAGAATAGCAGTGATTGAAGGTTTAGAAGAGGAGCAGAAGTCCTCGGCAGCACTAAGATGTGCCCGGATTTATGCAGAATGCAATCGAAAACCTGGTAAGTTACTGCTAAGAATGGTCAAGTATAGATGTCACCTCCCAAAACCCCCTTGGCCAAGTCTCGGCTGTCATTCTGCATGGGTTGCTTGCAGTTATAGCTATCACTCTCATTTGCTCGTAGTTAGTGTTCATTTGTTGGTTAGGGCAATCAAGTAATTAACATCTAATTAACATCTAAATAACTAACAACTTCTGAGGAAAATATATTTAACTCCTGCATGAAATAGTTTATTAATAAGGGAATGGGGTTCTGGTGGGCGGCATCTAATGTTGACCAAATATAACTTAAGGTGGCCGAACACAGTTTTCGCGCACACTTTTGCTGATGCAATTCAGCGCGCGTACAAGGATTGCAAAAAAACAAACATGCTGTCAATAGAGCGATCATTTTATTTACTCGACACCTGCACTATCCCTGCTATTTTTCTCTATAATTGAATGCAGTGTATTGATTGCTTTAGTCTTTTATTACAAAGATATGTTAGAAAAGGTAATGATGCAAAGAACCCAGCAATTCTCAGTTTTTTCNGGCTCTAACTCATCCTTGACAAGGCCAAGGTCTGGCCAGCTCAGCCGTTCATGAAAACAATCAACACATTTGAAAACAGGCATAAACCGGCAGGAAAAGCCAGTCCGGCAGTCGTCAGTCAGTCATCTGGACATGGCGGTCACTGGCGTACGTTTTCAGTCAGACACATCTGATCGATATAAAACCGACACTTAAATGCGAAGAGCGGCTCAAAAAACCTTAAACCATGACAATGAAAAAAAGATTTACTGGTACATTTTTGGTCCAGTTCGGGTGAATATATTAGGCTGGACTCAAATTGTTACAAGTCAATCAAAACTATAACAAACGAGACTAATGAGGTCAGCTTTTGTTATATACACTAATAGTAATTTTTACCTTTATAAGCTTATGTTGATTGCCTTCTCTTCCTTTGAATGTTCTCTCCTAATTATCTTAGCGAAACTCAGTGCACTTAAACCACTGGCTTAAAATTTTGCTGAAAATGTCAATCAGCCCACGACTGCTTATACTGACTACCTTTTGTCAGCTTGCAATATATCTTAAGATTCTATGAAAAGGTGGTATCAATGAAAACAAATGATCATTGTTTCATCAACCATCCTGTATTTGCATCCGCGCTTTCAATGAATAGCAGCAATATCTACATTTCTCTTATTCATTTTATGTCGGCTTTGTATCAACAAACTACGAACCAATATTATTTTTAGAAAAGACACTTCAATCAGCCCAACTGAACGGAGAATGGCGCAGATTGCGCAAAGGAAAAGAGAACATTGTAATTGTAATTTTTACTCCTTGTGCTAAATTGTTAAAAGGAACAAAAGCGTATGGCCTTATTGGCAGGTCAATTTCAATGAAATGCCCTCAATGGTACTGGAGCTCTACCCCGTGGTCGACGAGCGAGTGATGCTCGAGCAAGCGAGGTCGTCCTAAAATACGAATGGCGCGCAATTGACGTGTGCTCTATCTCTAGTTACGCCGCTCCCAAATAATTCTCGTAAGCTAACACGATAAAGGGCACTATAGTTCATTTGTGCTTCTGACATTTGTAAAGATAATCTTTCACTTACATTGTTCCCAAAAATACATTAATGCTGGTAGATCCCACTCGAAAACTAAAAATGTAGCGCGCTACGTAACGCACAATGGTCAACTCGGAACCGTTTATCATAATATCAGTAATTTCGGCGTTGCTTGATTACACACTGCAGAGGCTGCATGCAGACAGGAAAGGAGTCGAAAACCCCGTAAGAAAAGTAATGGTTTTCAAAGGCCCCGCGGCTGATTAAACATGGAGATTGTAACCTTTCGGCAGTGTAAATTTGAGTCAACAATTTTTTTAAATAAACACTCGCCATTCATGTTCTGTTTTAACAAAGATTAACACATTTTTATTCATTTTCTCAAAATAAGATGTAACTTTCCTGCAGAATCGACTCAGAATCACAAGCTATTTGTCCTTGACCCTGTACTCTCGATCAAAGGGTAGGGTTAGTGTTTCGGTGACTGGAAAGGAAAAAAATTGACAGCACTGGAATCAACACTTTAATTTACACTAAGTGTAGCTATATTACTTTTAAAAGAAATTATTATGGTCTTCGGCAACCATTTCATCTTTCATACACAATTGCAAGAACGCCGGCCAAGGTCGGACAATGGTAGCATATATTAAAACAAGCGCATTTAGTGCGTGTCCGATTTAGCTGTAGAAATAAATATTGCAAATTATCAAACAGGGGGATCATGATAGACCAGGATATGGACCGAAACACCACCTTTAACAACAGCCTCTTAATTTAGTTTCCTTATGACATCACAGATCTGCTCTTAATTGCCAATCGTGATGCTATTGCCTTAGAAATTACGGCTTCGCGTTGGTTTATAAAAAGCTTTTTCATCCTAACCGATATTCATTACGAAACTTAACCATGAAAGCTTTTAATTTGTTATTCCAATTTTTTTTCATGACAACATATTGATGGTTGTCAAGGTACTTAAGCTTTTCTTTCAGAAAAAGACAAAGAGCTCGAAACGCCGCAACGCTGTTAGATTGAATGCTTTTTTTTTTGAAAGGAATGATAGAAAACAAAAACCTTATAATGAACGGCTTTAATAAATGGCACATAATTATAACGGAGCTCCGGCGACCATTCTCGCCAAGCGGAGCACCATACTCATAGGAACCCGTGAGTTGCTTTCCTAATGGTCATCATGGATAGCGGTACTGTATACGCACGACGATAACGACGACGTCGTCGCACAAAATGGCGGCCAAACTCCAGCTAATAGGCTGCCTTGGTTAACAGCGTACATCTTTGATATTGTTCATTCATGTTAAAGCCAATTGACACCTGTCAAGATAAGGTATCTGCTGACGAGTGTCCCGTTACCATATCAGCTCATTGAAGTCACGTGTTTGTTGAAGTTGACAGCTGCAGAGGTACTGGTTTGCAATTGGATCGCACGCTCAAACCAGGTTAATTCAATGAAATCAGGAGCTCAGCTTTTAGGCTTGGCTAAATCTATACATTGGTCTTCCATAGTGGTCGGTGATGAAGATTTCGTTTCGTCACCCTTTCTCAGCAGATTTTTTAAGTTCGCCACGAAAAAAGTTTACTGCACATTTGCCATACATACCTTAGCTAGTTGCATGGTTTTGATTCCCTAAGAACAGGTTTCATAATAATGACGATAACATTCCTTCGCTACAAAGTGGTCGTCAGAGGGCAAGCCAACTGAAGATTCCCTCACATTGCACTCAGACTGCCCCCTCTCACCTTAAAGGTTGGATGTGCTAATTTGCCTTATTTGGTGAAAATGGTTCATTTCCTTGCAAGGTTCGGAACTTTGATAAGACTGTTTGCTTTCGGGTGAGCTCTCTACTGAGAATTTATTGGAATATCAGGATTGTGGTAGCAAAACATTTGCAGGAAAATTCCAGTGCCGGCTCTTCTATTATTACAAACCATCTGAAGTGATGCGAAGGTGAAATCGGGATGGGTAATAAAATTCTGCAGTTATATCGTATAATGAAATTCATTTTCATTTAATGTTCTTATTGACTACGTAGCATAAAAAGTAACCATTTACAGGAAACAAACATTTTGTAAGCACATTTTCCACTTGGATATTTCGGTTGGAAATTTTGGACTACCTTTCAAGACGTTTCGCCTTACCATTTACATTTTGACCGAAATTTCCGGAATTTTCCGTTAAATGATAAACGACCAAAGAGACAGCAAAGGAAACGCATAAGTAGATAAATATGTTCTAATACTTCTTGTCAAAGCGGTCATAAAGAGTGGCTTTTCAACCTTCTACAAAATTAACTAATATTAAAATCAATTTTTAAATAAGTTCCATTAACAATAAGAAATTCCCCTGGAAGAATTACCAATCTTTTAAAACATGGACACGGCGTACGCTACCAATCTTACTTCCATTATAGGTCTGTATAGCGTACAAAATGTCTCTTTTAATTAGGGCCTGCTCGTTCAATAAATGCTCAGTGGCGTGTCCAGCAATATTGAGCGTCGCGAAGAACAAATCTGCGATAGCGACGTTCACGAGAAAGAGATGTGCCAAGGTACGCATTGTTTTGTTCGAGACAATGGTTAAGACGATCAAAAGATTGCCGAGGAAAGCGATTGAAAGTGCGACTCAACGGCCGTGAAAATTGGGTGAAGCGTTTCTTGTAGGGAAAGAAGCGAGATGACATCCATGGGAGGCATCTCCGGAACGAGCTGTCCAAGACAGGAGACGTTTCCTGGCGGGGCGGAGCAGTTTGGTTTTGTACCAGAATCATTGTACATCTTTTCTTGAAAACGGGTCGGTTTTTCAGCTAGATAATGACAGTTCTTTGTAAGATCCCCGAAAAGTTTTGCTTGCTTTGTATGATCACAAACTGCTGAAAAACTCTTAACGAACAATTTCAGCCCTTAGCAATTAATGAAGAAGCGCTGTCGAGTAAGTGAGATGTAAATATTTGTTACTTTTAATCTACTGTACAAAGGAAAAGCTTTTTAAATATTTAGAATAGCAAAATCTGCATATCAATACCAAAGACTTTACTTTTACTTTTGAACCAAATGAGAAAATGCTTATTAAAAATTGGTGGTAGACCTGGCAACCCACGAAATTCATACTTTTCATTTCAGAAATAAAAATAAAAATAAAGAAATTGAAGGTGTTTGTGAAAATTTGGTTATGTTCAACTTGTACAAAGAATTCTTTGCAAGAACTTTGTCTTAGATTTTTCAGCCATTCTTGCCATATACCTGGTATGATTGTTCAGCAAAGAATAACTTCGACTCATTCTCAAAACAAAAGGATTTTATGAAATTGTGAAAAATAATAAAGTGCGAGAAAAACTCGGACGATAATTTGAGGGAAATGATTTCACTCGCATTTTATAAAACTAGGGTTATGGATATGATGATTTGATGAAATTAACACTGTTGAGCTTTATTGTGAACAGTTCAACAGTCGTACACAGGTAACATTAACTTTAGCAGATTTCAAATTAAAGCCTGAGGATTACTATTTCCATAATAACTCAGTCACAGAGGTTCTAAAGCGGGCAGCGTCCAGCACTACGCCGGAAAAATTTGAAAACGTAGCTTTATTTCTACCGTCCACACTAATCCGTGACAAAAACGGAGCTTTCCCGAAACGCTCTTCAAACCAGAGGACTGTGAAAACGTCGGGTTTTCCTTTTCGTGTGGACGATTTTGAAAACGGAGCTTTTCAGAAACGGTGGCGTCACGATAATCGTGTGATTTCCCTGAACGATTTTTCCTCAAACGCAAATCCAAAATGACCCGTGATTGTGCGGTTTTCAAATTCCTCCAGCGTAGTGTGGACGGAAAAAATTTGATGCGTTTTCAGAGTGAAACCTCCATTTTCAAATTCTTTCGGCGTAGTGTGGACAGGACCTAAATCTCTGGCAAGTAAGGCGAAACCGCATTTGGCGTACGTTTTGCGCCTGCATCCTTAATTTCTTGCTCGTATTTTCAAATTGGCCTCGCTCTTCGCGCTCGTCCGAGTTTGAAAATACTGGCGCGATTTCTCCCTGAATTGTACTCCACTCGGTCCGATTACTATTACAAAGTATAAATTTATTTATTGTGACCTTTTCAGACAAAGCAGTCGAACTAAAAATTACAAAAATCGACCTTTCACTGAATTATATTTTTACGTGGTTCAAAACACTATACCGTGGTAGAATTCTAAGAGAAGCCTCACAATGATGTGTTACTACAAAAAGAAAAACTCCAGAGGTGATAACTACTACAAGAATGATTAAAATGCGACAGGATTGAAACGAATTATGCCAACCAGCCTGAAAATTTATTTTACGCTTTATTTTTTTTAAGGATGTGCAAGCGGTGTCATTTTTTTAAATCCATGTTTGAGGCCAAAATTATTCAAAAGTAATGTAGTTATTTCTGAACAATTCATGTTGATATAACCCCAAAACTCTTTTGCTCGGTTCCGGAAACGAATAAACAAAATTATATTTTTGAAAGGCGACAAACCAAAAATCCAATTACATTCAATTCATTAGGATGCAAGCAATATTTTCGACAGTATGCCCGCAAACAGACAGGTGAGCTTCACACCTTTCCAGTTTCTAACCTCAAATCTGGAAATTGCAGTTTTAACGAAGGACGTTAATGTAAATATCCTGTTAATTGGCATACATTAATTTAATTCAAAGATTCAGTGTGTGCGGAGTGTGTTAGAGTAAAACAGCTGTCTCGTCAGACCCCAGTGTGGCAGGGAGCGCAGAGTTTGATGGTTTGGTAGTAACCGTTTTCTGAGTGCAACTGGCCCACAATTCCACGCGCATCAGCAAACGGGGGTGGCCTGGCACGAGGAAGTGAAAAGTGAACCCTCGGAAGAAGAATGATTTTCGCATGCTCTGTCTTTGCGAAAAGATTCATGGAAAACTGTAAAAGGGACAACGATTTCCTGAAGATATCTATATCTCTTATACTCTGGGCACCAAAGGTTTTTTCTTACTCGGCCTGCGGAGGGTTGGTTAGGGTCGACAAGAGACCGACGACACCATCAGTGGAAACTTTGCATGATAAGTAAAAATTTGAGTCTGATCACTGGTTAGGGATATTTTGGATTAAGGTACGAGTATAGGACAATTTCTCGCTATACAACCATTCTTGGTCCTAGATCCCTCGTAACTCCCTGTAGTTGACTAATAGAAGAGTAGAGTTGGAAACTAGACTGGCGCATTAGGCCAATCTTGTTCGTTATAATCTTGCGCCTACGCTAAGTTTCAAACCCAGCTCTCGTTCTTGAGCTGGTACCTCAATGGAAAGTTCCCGTCATTCATTCTGGGTTTTCGCACTTATTTGCCGGCGCGAGCGTTTGCTAAACTGGCCTTCGATTCATGACATAAAGATATATGTAAACCAACGCAATAAAAGAAACATAACAGCCATTTATTATACAGTCATAAAAAAGGTCGGCATAATCGAAATTAGCCCACAGTCAAGTACAATTGTGAGCAGACCGATGTATACATGCTTGTTCCTTGTCTAATTTTTCAAACCAAATTATAAGTCACTTTCAACTTCAGAAGCACTTGGGAGATTGGACTCTAGCATTGCATGCTAGGTTATATTGGAACGTTTAGAAAAGGCGTCAACATCAGCATGTTATTTCCTTCTGGTTTGACTATTGACTATCAAAAAAAAAAAGTGATCTCTATTGTGGTGCACACTGATCAAATCAAAATCGTGTTCTGACGCCCGGTCTGAGCACAATCCCAGGAGTACATGCGCCACTAGGTTTCTGGAGGAATCTATAGAATAACTTACTCTGTACTTAATTGCTGTTCAAAAATTTCCAATTTTTTAAAAAAAAAAACACTGTTAAACAACTTCTAGAAGAAAACTAGCGTCTGCTTGACGGCGCATGAAGAGAGAGTTAAAAGAAGCTTTTGAAACACAAGGTGCACTAAATCAAATTGTGGTCTTCTCCATAAATAACCCAGTCCTAACTTATAGCTGTAATGAAGACAACTGTACAAAGTTCACAACTTGATTAAAACAATTCTGCACTTCCACGTGTATGGAACGGTGGAGTATCAACGATCTAAAATCTGCCTCCTCTCCAGCCCCGACCGCGCCCTCGGCTGCGCCCTCCCTGTCGGAATCCCCGTCCTCGGCTCCCGTCAGGCATGGTTTGTCCCTTGACGACGCCATTGGAGGCTCCAGCACGCCGGCCAGGAGGGGTGTATACTGTGACTGTGCTCCCCTTGGGCTTTTTGGGTGATTTCGTCTCGGGTGGAAGGTCGAATTTAATCGGCGTGATACCGGCGCGTTTTCGCCTGTGGAAAAATAACGGGACAAAAAGAAGGATTTCATTTCATCACTTATTGAGAATTAGTCAAGATTTAAGTCACAAGGGCAAAGATAGCAGACTTAAAAGTGAAACCGAAGAGACCTTGGTCTATAGGAAAAAATAGCCTACCCCAGGCTCTCGGTTCGTTTTGTCCCTTGATCGTCCCAGCCAATCAAGAGCCTGGAAACTGACTAGTGAAGAAAGGACACTGAGAGATCGTTTTGTCAAAACTACACTATGGGGATTGGAGTTTACTTTCACTTTCTTTGCAGTAAAAACAGTTGTAATCAGATATAAAACAGTTTTTAGTTTAATGTTTAATGTATTCATCAACATGTAAAAACACTTACATTAATGATAACGTCAGACATTTAAATTCATAGAATTCAGATTACTAATAATGAACATCATCAATCAATCAAACAGTTCCTTGACCGCCAAAGAACGATCTAGGTAAAATAAGAGACCAATCTTGACTTAGCCAAGAGGCAACAGTCAGGTGCTTAACACTATTAAGCTTTAACTTACAGTGTAATACCTCTTTCTGTCAAGATTATTAGCTAAGAGTGGTCGAAATTTGATATCGCCAAGTTAAATTATCATAACTAAATACTATTATTTTGAGTGGACACTAAAAACGAGGCCAATATTTCTCTACCCTTAGTCGATCAAGCCTGACTAAATCAGTAATGATAAATAGTCGATCAAAGTCCAATCGTAGAATGTTATCTAGGATTTTGTAATTTTTTACATGCAAATTAAGAAGTATCACCAAACATAACATTGTATCAAAACTGTTTGTTTTCTTTTGGCCCTTAGGTCACGAAGATAAGGTTAATCTTAAAAAAATAACTTAGTCATATTATGAAAACTTCGGAATTCTATTTACAATTTGTCTTCGTACACTGAATAAAGAAACTTCACCGAATATTACACAAAACTTTTGAAAACTATTTACAATTTGTCTTCGAGCTCTTCTGAGTAAAGAAACTGGCTTCACCGATTGGAAATTGGAAACTACACTTCAAAAAACGTCTGAATAAAGAAACTGGCTTCACCAATCGGAAATTACACTACATAAAACTTTTGAACACTATTTACAATTTGTCTTCAAATTCTGAAGAATATGGCGTGTTGTTCTTGGAAGAAGATGACTCAATTATTCCACGAACATGTCGGAATGTTTGGTTGGTTGAAGCAGGCGTCATCTTCTCGCGGATATCCAGAAGTCGTTCTTCAAGAGGTATCACATCCAAATTAAATTCCAACTTTTTGGCCATCTTTAGCGCCTCCTGGCCGAACTTTTCAGCCTCCTCGTATTTTTCCAGGCGGTAGTTGAAGTCTACTTCTGCAATCAAACGCTGAATCTTGGCGCCTTGAACCTCCCTCTGACTATAATAATCGCTCTGCAGAGTTTCCAAACTCTTTTTGGCCTCTTCAATGCTCCTCACAGAAATGCTCTTCTTTCGGGATGCACTCGATTCACACCGAAGATCTATCAACGCCATCTTGCAAACTGCAAAGTGTTGCTTACGCACATAAATTTGTTCATGATCTAGCCTGCAACACAGGTCGATACAGCGTTGCATCAACTCCTTAGCTTTCTCTTTGGCTTTAACAAAAGCGGGTTCATTTCTCGAGCCAGTCAGGAGCGAAGCAAAGTCTCTTTGCCAGCTTCCTTCCTCGTACAGAAAAATGGCGACAGCCAAACAAGGTGGAAAGCCAGACGCGACCTTCTTGGCGATCTTCAAGCACTCTTCTGCATTTCCTAACATTTTCCTTCGGCGGTAGGTTCCAGCCATGTAACACTTTGACAGTACTTCCAATAGAAGTCGAACTGAACCGCTCGTCTGCGCAATCTCGCTGGCCACCCTATTTATCATCTCTTCTGATCGTTCCAGCTCTTTCTTAATACTTAGCACAACACTTTTTTCAAGACTGATGATAATTCTGCGAGTCACATCACCGGCTGCTTCTTCTAAAAGCTTTTCCGCAGCACGTTCGAATTCATTCCAGTCGCCATCGTCGCGTAGAGGATGCAAAGGAGTAATACAGGAGCGATACACTTGCAGCACTTGTTGAAAGCTGCTACTCTCGCTCTCCAATGCAATTTCGTTTAGCGTACACGAGTTTCTCGCATCCTCGTCAGTGGTTGGTGTGGTAGATCGGCTTGAATCATTGCGTTGTAATCTCTTCAGACGGCTGCGATCACTTCGCTTCCGCCTTCGACTTTCACTTGCTTCCAGCCGATCGCAATGCTCTTTTACTTTTACATGGCGACTCGCTTTCAGACGCTTGCTCGACGGTGGTACTGGCCCTTGTACCACAGTGTGATCGCCGCAAATTATTATCCCAGAGTTTTTGGAGATATTTACCACATAGTGACTGCAACATTCCGTGCCCGAACAACTAGGCACTTTAGTCATGGCTGCTAGAAGGCAAGATAGCACGTCAAAACGGTAAAGGTTTCGGCGAAGCGACCTCCAACAGGCATGACGTAAACAAACAGATCGAAAATCGGTCGGGCATGAAAACTGTCACATCATGTGATGAAAGGGAAAATTCCCGATTGTCAGTTTACAAAATTCCTTTCGTGTTCAGAAGCAAGTGTTTTACTTTAGTATTATTGTATGACTATCAGAGGCAAAAAGCAAGAGGAATTGTCATGAGAAAAAGCACATCTAAGTTTGAAAATCTTTCTTCTGTACAAAATAAGTTTCGAAATCTACTCCAATTTCATCGCCATTTTTGAAAAGAGAAATAGAATTATTACCCTTTGCTCCTCGAATTTATTAATCTTTACTGAGCAATTCACTTTTTAATTTAAAACTAAACCAACAAACTAGAAAATGTATTAAATTATTCCAATTAGAGACGTTTTTGAGAAGTATTATAAAATAAAAACTAGCGAAATGACAAAAGGACAACGTTTCGCCGTCCTTATGACAACATTATGTCAAGCATTTTCGGCGATAAAACGTAGTTACAGTATAAAATAGCTAGCTCGCCTACTTTATAGAAACATTTATGAATCACCTTCAAAAATTTAAAAAACTCTTGCTCACGTTTGGTAGATCTTCTTCTCATTTCGTTTAGACAATCGCATGTGCAGGCTGAATTCTGACTGCGGTCAAAAACCCTTCAGAAGGTAGGCGGGCGGGCATCAAATGTTTCCCAATAGTATTACCTTACACGGAATAAACAGACTTACTTTTCATCTACCAGCGTATTTTTCTCCTCTTCAGGGGATGTTGGAATTGATGTTTGTGTCTTCCCCTACAAATTAACAGGAGTAACATTAGTTATATGCATGCAAATATTGATGTGTGGATCAGACTTTTACATGACTAGACTATCCAGGCAAACTAAGACTATCCCAGCAAACGCAAACAAGGGGTAAATACAAGAGAAATACATCTATAGGATTTAAACTCAGGTAAACACTTCTTACTAAGTTACACTTACCGGAGGTTTCCACGATAACGTAACAGAACACTTAAAGGAAGGTGGATTATGAAACAAGTCCTGAAAAAAGAACAGGAAATCATTACTCGCACAACAACATCATCATCATCAACAACAACAACAACAACAAAACAACAACAGCAACAACAACAGCAGCAACAACAACAACAACAACAAAAACAACAACAAAAACAAAAGAACAGGAAATCATTACTCGCACAACAACATCATCATCAACAACAACAACAACAACAAAACAACAACAGCAATAACAACAACAGCAACAACAACAACAACAACAACAACAACAACAACAACAAACACAACAAGTAAGATAAATAAGGGCTGGACACCGGGAAAATTGATCAGCTGTGTGGATGATTTGGCCTGCCTGGTTTGACTCATCTAGATGAAGGTTTTTCTTATTCGCCATTTCCACATCTCCCATGATACACCTTGTTTGCCCCCACCTTCCCCAAAAGTTTTGCACAAGCATTGTCTTCAGTTTCTCTTGGGATGACTGTAATACCCAGGAGAAATGGGAAACAAAGGTTATGCAGGATTTTGGGGTGCAAACAAAGTGTATTATGGGGGATGTGGAAATAGCGAATAATGAATTTCAGTTAAAAAGGTTCTGCGTGCCTGTGAAAACCAGTTGACCTGTTGAAAACGTTACCGAAACTGCTGTAGGGGAGACAAGATTTTCTTCCGAAAATATCTTGCCTACCTCTTACTGAGGCAGGTACCGAAAACGCAGCATTTTTATATATTTTTATGTCTGATACAATTGATTGTAAATCTCTTACTTATTCATTGTGTTATTTTGACCAACCTTGATGACGGCATTTATATTTGAAGTCGTCCTGAGGGCTACAATTTTAATTTTATTTTCCTCTTCCTGAAGGGCAGGGCCTGTCTTGCCTTGTAGAGACAATCTCAGCTGTTTTATGTACACTTGACAACCTTGAGCAAAGTATTGAAGCCTGTGAAAAAAAGTAATCCTATAATCAATAGCACGGTTTGAGATGAATGCTGCAAAACTAAGGTCCAAAATGAACACAGAACCTGTCATGTCAGGTATATGAGAAATTATAATCCATCAAATGTTTTTGGTCACACGGGATTGGTCTAAATGCGTCACGTGACTGAATATGCCCCAGCTAAAACTGGGGAATATCCGAATGATATTCCTCAATCTTCAAAACTGCATGTGTTTCGAAAAATATTTGACGGATAATAAAGACAATAGCCTCCATTTGGTGCTAAAAATATGCTATGCTAAGATATGGAAGCTTTTTATTTATTCATGTGAACTGTGTGAGCAATGGAAAGTACAAGCATTCAATCTGAAGCAGTAAGTGATAACCCTTCACCATGACTGGCTTCCGAGTTTAAAAGAGTAACACTTAACTATGCAAGTTTTTTAAAACAATGCGACAAGGAGATTGTACAATATGAATTGTTTGCGGCTTCAAGTAAAACTTTACCTTAGTCTGAAATCTTTTAGACGTTCTGCTGCACTTGCATCTGTTAAAAACTCTGGGTTCTGAAAGAAAAGAATGTGCACATCAGTTTCTTTCCACACAATGTTAGAAAAAAAAAAGAATCCTTCATCATGAGGAAATTGCAGTCTAGGATACAATATGACACCACAGGAAATAAAAACAAAATGTTAGTCTCCTTTACAGCAGTCAATGATCCTAATTCTTTTATTACATTTTCACTGATGCACCTTAGGAGAATTTGGCCTTACAAGTAAGTTATGCCACTTTCCCTGAGACCATCAAGACCTTAGTTCTTATGGCTTGAATTCTCCACTTGCCATAAGAAGTCAGGAAGAAATCATTACACATACAGTACACATGCTCTGTCTACCTTTTTTGCTAGTTGGTGAAATGCAAGAATAAGACACTCTACGTAGGAAAACTGAAGCTTTGGTTCAGAGTTTTCTTCAGTACTTTTCTCCTCTTCTTCACCTGGAGGCAACGGCATGTATTCCTGAGGAAAAAGTTATAAAATACAGACAATTAAACAAAGTCCATTAAATTTATTCCTGACTGTGTCTTACAAGTCCTTCCGTTTTCTTTGTTAAGACCAAAGCTATTCTCAGAGATAGACTTCTGTTACATATTGGTAACACACACTTGCCGACAGCCAGAAAAAAAAATGCCACGTAACATGGCATGTTCACAGTTTTACCAACATAAACCTCACCAAAAGTAAGTTGTAGATAGGTTCTATAGCTGTCTTGACATTTTCATCAGTCAGACCATGAGGTGACATTTCAGCACATAATTTCAACATCTCTAGCTTGACATCTTCACCATCTGATGCAGCCAGCTCATTCAGCTTTGGTAGAATACTCTCTACTATGTAGGCAAAGAAAGCTTGGGCAGATGCTCCTTTCTGTTAAGAAACAAAATAACTGTCTGTTTGAAAGTTTGCACTTGGGCACAAGGTTGAAGTTGGCACTTCAAAGCCCAATTAAATAGTCAAAGGGTGCTGGAATGAAACAAAAAACCCCAGGTGATTTGCACACTTACATCGCCACATATCTTAAGGAGACCTAAACACCAACTTAGATGAGCTGTCTAGTTTCTTTTATGTCTCTTCACAACTGCAGTTTAAGTTTTTTCCCTACGTTTCAGTAATATTCTATTGTGTAGCAAAATAATAGAGTAAAATAAACAGATATTAAAGAAAACACTACATTAACATAAATCCAACACATCAACCATAGCCATGAGTGAGAATCATACAGTCTAATAATCTTAACCTGTGAAAATTTATCAAAGATGTTAAAAAAAAATATTTACATGTCCTCTTACCACAAAATATGGGATGGCTTGTCTGGCACATGAAATGAATCTATCAATCACATCAGCATCACTGGGCTGAAAGACACAACACCAAAAGAATGCTATTCATGATGACAAATCTAGACAGATTAGTTAAACTTACCAGGGCTGTCATTAAGTTTTAATTTCCCCGTAGCCTTGATCTTCACACGTGTAACAAATTTGTTACTTTATGGGTGAATTGTATCAACTACAGCCAAGTTCACCTGTAACAACAAGGGCCCATCAAGCATGCCCAGCCGTAACAGGTGCTATGGGTTACGGCCCTTATTGACAGACCTGCTTACTGTAAAAAAAGTGTGACTTGAGACCGAGACAGTATCTGGAAGTTGATGGTGTTATTCATTCTTTCTGTGTGGACTGTTTGATGATGTGATCATTAATATATTGAAAAGCAAAATTAGATCTGGATTCCTACTGGTATTTAAAGATTAGGTAGCACATATGAAAAGTGCTGATAAAAATAATGCAGAAATAAATTTTGGTTAAGTCATGTGGTGATGAAGTATAGTTTGCGATTTAGTTTCTTTAGAGCTCAAACTTCAAAGGAGTTGAATAATCAATTGTGAGATTCACTTTGTATGACACACAAAATAAGGTGCCTGTTTATTTATTTATTTTTTTTTAGCAAGGATTGAACTTTTCATTCTATCCCCTGTCAAGTGGTACCTGGAATGCCTGGTTTAGCTCTGCTTGTTCTGCCACTATGTCTGCAAGTTCTTGGTGAGCGCTAGCCATGACTTTTAGTGATGACAGAATGGTCATGAATGTACGAAACTCTTCTCCAGTAACATCTGCCATGGCCTACAGTGCACATCAAAAATTTAATCACTTTAGAACAGGGAAAACACACAGGACAAACAGTACAGCACATATGAGTAGACTTGATGAGAACTGTGGTCTCAGAATCAATAAATGTTTTAAACACCATGACCAGAACAACAATTCAAGACATCAGAGTTGTTTCCCATTTACACATGGGTAAATGGTACTAATCAACCCATGTGTCATGTTGTCTGTCATTTTATTAGCCGAGAGATTATCATCCCTGACCACAACCTTGCATGTAAAAACCTTTAACATATACCATGAGGTCATGTTCAATCTAAATAAAAAAAACCCTTTACATCAGCCTAAAGATCACAGCTTACATGTAGGTATAGAGACAATTGGATCAGAACTAACACGGATGCCTGGTTTCTGTAGCAAGAAGTGACGGGGAGCAGTTCTGATGTGTCCCTGGCAAGGTTTTCTCCCCTCCCTGGAATTTAATTATCAGGTGTCCATTTACACAACTAGGTGACAAGAGACACTGTGAGAGGAAAGCTCCTTGCCCAAGACCACAACACAATGACACCAATCAGAGTTTGAACCCAGACCACCTCAACCTGGAGTCTAGCACACTAACCACAAGGTCACTGCCATGGCTGTTACATGTCACGTTTGACATCCAGAAAAAGGACAAGTTTCACTGCAAGTATCACCCTTTCTCTGTATTCTTCAGCACATCAAGCTATGCCCCTCTTCATCCATGAGTATAAACGATAAGCAGAATTTGCTGGCATAAACTTACATGTTACATAGTTCTAAAAAGCAAAATCCCATTCAGTAGGGAGGGGAGAGTAAATGATGCAGAAACTGGTATTTAACACTTAACTTGCCTTTTTAATTTCTTCAACAAGATATTCTTCTGTTTCAGGTGACGGATGTAATACCTTCTTGCCATATTCTTCCACAGCACCACTTAAAAACTTGATAGCACTTTCTCTGGAAACTTCTTCTCCACTCAGAATTTGTGAAAATAGTCCTCCAATAGTTCCTGAAGAATTAATTAAACACAAGGGAACTATTATAGTGCTCAGCTTCTCTAAGCATTTTTTTGGATTTTGTCCAATATATAAACTTTATATATTAACTTATATTTTATATCATTTACTTTGGAGTCTCTGGCAAAAAATGCATGAGTGAGTGAGATTTTACTTAACGCTGTTTTCATAAAATATCCAGACACACTGGCCAATATAGTAGTAAGTATTTAATAGTTTACCTTTTGGCTCCATTTTAAACAGTGATGTGAGTGCATTTCTGACAATTGTTAATTCAGTAGGATCCTCTGGAAAAGAAATGTGGTCAAAAATTAAATATGTGTCCTTATACATTAAATTTTATAGAATTTAGATTAGAAAAATTAACATTTTCAGTCATCGTAAAGTTTATATAATGGCCAAAAATAATAAAATTGTTCCATAAATAATCCTCTCAAGTCTCTTTTCAACTAACTGCAATTCATAGAAAATATTGCTTTAAACCTTGCAATTGTATACATGTAAGTACCTGATTGTAACAGTTGTGTGAGTACATCAGCAATTCTTGGTAGATGTTCTGGTGTGTCCTTACAGAGATCTGGTAAGCCTTTTATGGCTTGTCGTCTAATCTGTGATATACATAACAAAAAATGTTATCAGCTAACATGAGCAGATTTCCATTTGCAACTCACAGGACATGTTAGGGTGCAACTGCAAAACACCTCACAATAGACCAATTTTGATATATTAAAATTCAGCCTATTAAACACAAGAGACCTCAGCATGAGGCTCTAGGGAATAAACCCCACAAACTCTGTAGTTATTCCCCAGAGCCTCGTACTGAAGTCTATTGTTTTGGGCTGAAATTTAATATATCAAAATTGGTCTATTCCTGATCACCTTATTGGAAAGTCTTACAAGAATAAGGAACAAAACAATAGACACTACTGGCATTAATTTTAACAAGACGAAAATAAGTCATGACAATATTTCACTTACTCAAATGTACATCTTCATCCATTCATAGAACAAAAATTTTTTAGTAAGCTTATCTCTGAGACTTACCATGTTATCTTCATCTTCACATAAGTCTAACATGGCATCAATAGCATTTTCTTGTAACTTGGGGAAGAACTTGAAGAACCTTGTTATAAACTGTGATGCCAGTCGTTTTTCAGCCTGTGATCCCTTTACAGCAGCCAAAATCAACAAAAACGCACCCTCTTGCTGTCAAAAACAAGAGTTGGGAATAATTACGTTCATTATAGGTTTGCATAAAATGAAAATAAACGGTTTGACTTAACTTCCACGTGATAGAATCGGCCATACTAATTTGATTAGAAATATTTTCAAGTTCACCTCTCCTGCTTTCTCGTTCGCATCTGCAAGGATTCCAAACTGCTTGTAAAGTTCTTCAACACCTGCCATGTTTAGAAAAGCTGTACAAGAGGGAGAAACAGGGCTGAACAACTCTATTTTCAGCAGTTCAGTTCAGTAATGGAAAGTGCAGTGAAACTGACTTAGATGCCGCGCTTAGCCTCATTTTCAAGTTTTTCGGTCAGCGGATTTTCTATAAGCATAATATATCTCGAAATCATAATAAAAGTAATTGAGGGAGGGGAGGCAGAGGGAAAACTTTGTAAAGAAAAGTTTTTCCAGGTTTAAGTATGTAGCAGAAATAAAAAGATCGAAATTCAGGGAAAAGATTCAGAATAAACTCTGTTCAACGTAAGAAGATTGATTGAAACACAAGGCAAATTTTTTTTGGTACAATATTTTTAAAATTGCAAGCACCCCTCCCCCGACAGCAGCTGCAGCTCTTTGACGGCAAACACGTCAAAGCTTTCGGAAAAGGGCGATATCAGAGAGGAACTGTTCATACTCAGTATTCTCTCTCAAAAGAGACAGGAGCGTTGTAATACGGCACAAAATCGCCATGGATAATGTTACAGGAATATTTCTGCGTAAAGAAGTCGAAGAACTGAGAAAGCAGGGCGAAAGCTGGGGCCTCACTAAAGAAGAAATCGACCAAGCGATTCTACGCGCACTGGGAGGTACAGTAGTCCTTGTTGGTAACGAAACTTTCCTCGGTGAAATATAACTTACTTTAGGCTTTTCTGGATCGATTTGCTTTTGTACTTCTTCCATGATTCGGTAATTCTGCCTTTGTCAAGCGTAGCAGTCCTCATTCTGCTATAGGGAAACAACATTGCCGAAAGTGAGGAAGTTTTTTTGTCCTCCTTTTGTTTACGTTTTTATGATTCTTTTCCGCGGTCGTTTTTCTGAAAGCTTTTTATTCCAAGCACAATATAACAAACAGTGAACGAATATAATAAGCTTAAACTGAACTAAGTATTCCTTACAACTGGCGCGAAACAAAAACGTATCATTATAAAATTCATTTCACGGTTTCTTTTGTAGCTGTAATATGGTTTGCCTTGTAGTAGTTCTACACTCATAATGCATACATTTTCATTTCTCACAGTATCCTTTACACATGAAGAACAGCCCTGAGTCGAAATTGTGAGATTTAAAATATGTTATGCATAATTTAAAATAATTTTTGCTCAAATTTGGTTGAAAGGCAGGCCTGGTTGAAAGGTGGTGGGGGTGTGGGTGGGAGTGGGGTGGCAGTGGGGGTACATGCCACATACAGGATTTTGAATAGAATTTTACTGGCCCTTGAAAAAAGCAAAACTATGTTTTAGATACCATGCAGTACTCAAAAAATAAACTTGACAAGGACGTTTATGTTACATGGTAGAAATTATATAATTTTAATGTAATAGCTCACATGATATCCGCAACAAATTTACGTTATCTTGTTTAGTATGGTGTTAAATGTCATCATGGCTGGAAATTTCTTTTATGAGTAGTTCATGATTTGTTTCTGAAAATATCACCTAACAGAATTTAAAAAGAAAAAATCAGCAGATACTGTCTTAATACCAAAGAAAAAATGATTAACAAGTAAAATATGTGTGGTTCTTGGAAACAATATGATCGTACATGTAAGTTGTAAACATGCACACAAATAAATATACCACTAGCCTTGAAACTTGGATATAAATGCAGTTATATGCAAAGTTCTCTGCTGTATTTGATAGTGTTACTTGATTTCTTTGTTTAAAATTACATGTATATGTCAGCAAAACATTCTTGTTCTTTTGTAGAGAAATCTCCGTCAGCTTCTGAGGTTCCAAGCAAAACTAAAAGCAAGAAATGCAGCTTCATCAGTTGCTGTTTAAAAGTGGCAGGATTTATTATTTTGCTCCCTATTCTGTTATACACTGCAGTTTCAGTGCTGAGTATGATAAATCCATCAATTGGATTGTACATTGGGCAAAAGACAGCTGATTTGCAGTATCCATTGCAGCGTGCAGTCCGTTTGATTTCTCTTCCCTTGCACCGTTACGTTGACTTGTCAAAATGGAGTGCCTGGGAGTGTATGGTTGAAAATCCTTTGTATGTTCCAGGTAGAATGCTATTGAATTGTTTTTTTTTAGCTTTGATTCATTGATCAAATGTACAATTTGTTCAGGAAACAATGATGTCTGTTGATGAGGGACTCATTAAGGGAGGGGCACCAGGCAAATTGACCGGCTGTGAAGATGATTTTGCACTCCTGGTTTGACTGTCTAGAGCAGAGATTTTCTGACAAAGAAGTTTAGTTCACAACATTTTGCTCACCTGTGAAAATGAGTTGTCTCTTGCTAACGAAAAATTAATGAAACCTATGCTGTTGATAAGTGCTTTTTCAAAATAGTCATTAACAGCATCACCTCTCACTGATGTCCAAGTAATGATCTGTCTATTTTGTGAATTACAATATTGTAAAGCACATTAATAAAAGTGAAAACTTGTTTAAGTCCTGGCCAGAGGATTTTTAAATATGTGGTTGAACTACTTTCAAAGCACATAAAGATAATGAAATCAATTCTTGACCCCTGGAATGTTGTTATAAATGTAAAGTTACATGTACTGTAATCTTTATCTTTTGAGAAAGAGAAACACTCCTTGCCTTAAAGCACTGTTCTACTCCAGACTGGCTTACATTGATACAAATAAATTGATTTTTTTTAGAAAAAGCTGACTGTGCATTATGTGAGGGAGTGAAGAAAATTGCCAGCCGTTCCAGTGCAAATCTTACTAAAGCTGCATTTAAGAAGCGCTTTTATGACACTGCATTACCGGTTGTGGTGAGAAACATGCCAGGGTATGGAGATGTAGAGCACAGTTTTGAAAAATTCATGGAGTTTTATCACGCCAACAAAGCGGATCTAGAGCAGGATGCTTGTGAATTTAAGATCAATGGAGGCATTAATGATTCCATTACGAGTGTGGCAGAAGTTCTAGAAAATTGGGACCATTACAAGCCAGATGGGAATATTTTAGGGTGGTTAGTATCCTAGTCACAGCTATCATGTGTACAAAAGGCATCTGCGGTAGGGTGTTGACCAATACCTGATTGACACTTGATTGACACTCAATCGATCACTCCATTGATGCTCTATTGAGACTCGATCAACACCTCCATTGACACTCAATCGACACTCAGTCAACATCTCGGTGGAGAGTCAGTCGAGAGTCAACTAATTTTCACAGACATGCCATTGAGTGTTGATCAATACTTATGAATTGGTTGACACTCGGCCGACTATCGATTACCGGTAACTGTTGATTGAGTGTTGATCAGGTGTTGATCAAGGGTATCAATTGACACCTAACCACAGATGCCTTAAGCACGCATGATCCGTTAACACACCTAACTTAATTTTTTGAAAAGTCTGTAAGGATTGTGGCCGAAATTATTTCTCCAAATTCCAAATATTTCATTGTTGAGTTTACCTAACTTCTTTTCCCCTATTTTGTTATAGGAAAGTCTGCTATGGACAGGGCTTACGATCCCTGCGAGCCCTGTTTCCTCGTCCTTACTGTATTCACAGTGAGGGTGCTTTAGACAAGTCAGTCTATCTGTTACAACCAGCCATGCAAGGAACAGATGGTTCCACTGAAGAACTTGTTTCAGAGATGGTAGGTCTATATAGTTTGCCATCATCTTTACTTACTAGTAGATGGAGATCAGTACCAAGATTGATGGTTGTCTAGTCCATCAGAATTGCTTGCTAATCCACTGCGGGTAATGCCCAGAATGTTTTTCAGTTATCCCTGCAAAATGCTACTAAATGTGTACTTTTAAGACATTCTAAAATATCTTGTGAAACAATGGCTTATTATTATTATTATTATTGTTATGGAGTTTGCTTTAGTGCAATGAAATGTTTCTCTTGTCAATCACCAGGTACAGGGCACATTGGACAATGTGTGGATGGCACAGATAACTGGTTCAACAGTCGTGAAACTTCTGCCAATTGAGCACTGTGAGGACAAGTGTGCAACATACCAGTTTACACTGAAACAAGGAGATGTCTGTAAGTAAAGCATTGCTGGACAGCTCAACTAGGCCCCTCTGCTGGCACTGGGCTTGATTTCGACTGCTCTCTCTAGTTCAGTTGTTGTTCCCAGGAGCGACATGCTTGGGTGCATTTTCCTGAATGACGGCTTGTAATCAAGTCTGTACTAAAAGTAAATTTGAACTCGCTCTTACTAACTAATTAGCACCGTCAGGACTTGAAAAAAACTTGAATTTCAGCTTGCCCTTAGGACAAGTATCTCTCAAATAATGCTTGTCCTGGACAAGTCTTAGTGTGCTCTTTTAATGATTTAGTCTGAAGATGACTTGTTCGTTTGAACCCTTGCCCATCAGGCAAGTGAGAATGAAATTTTACTTGCCCTCAAGGAAAATCTACTTGTCCGGGATGACCAGACAGCACTTTTTGCTAGCCTTAAAGTGCAAATACTGTCACTATTCCCCTGTTCCCCCTCCCTGTGTTGAAGACAAGTGACCAGAGTAAAGTCAATCATCAACATTATTTAGTTACTAGTTATTGTACCACCAGATCCTCATTAACATCATTATTGGTTGAAATATGCAACCAGTAATGAGACTTGGAAGTTTAATCTTGGTGTTCACTATACTTAGTACATTGTGATTGCTAAGGAGTTGGATTTTGAGAACAGTGTGGCACATGTATTGTTTTCACTTTGGAATCAGTTGGTTAAATGGTTTCTTTCTTTTCTGCAGTTTTCTTCTCACAGCATACTTGGGAGACCACCTTTCATAATAATGGCAATGAACCTGCTATGGTCTTCACTTCTTCATTTGCATAGATGACTAAAAGAGAGAGTGGAAAGACACATGATCTTCTCCAAACATTAACTTAATCGTTAATGTAGTCAGTGGAAAGTACTCAGCCGTTACCTCTAAACAAAGTGATAATTTAAGCAACTCTATGATATTTAGGTAGAAGAGGAAGTAGAACATGTTAAAAATTTAATGTAATGAATAACTGTTTAGTGTAAGAGTTAGGGTCACCAAATCAATAAACAATGAAAAAGCATGGATCTCTGAAGTTGTTTAAATCATGCCTTTGTTGGACCTTTTGACTTACCTGTTAAACTGCACGTAATTGGAAAATGAAAGTCACTGGTTAGTGGATACATTTGTTATAATTTCTTATGTTTTATTTGTCAAATAGTTATCTATGAGCTGCAGTGGTAACTTGACAATACTTTCACTCGGAGGGAATCAGTATAAAAAAAAATTTCAGACTCTTTTGTCATATATTAGTTACATACACAGCCAGCTGGTTGTCATTTGGGGAAATGATGACTGACAACATCAAAAACAGTTGTACAGTAAGCGACATACCCATCTGAAATGTATACAATTTGCACTCAAATTGTGTGAAAGACACAAAGACACCGCTACGTTGAGGGGTAGCTTTGTTTTAGCACATTTTGCACAAAAAGAGAATTTCCCACACAAAGTCTATAAAGTTCTCCTTGCATAACATCAATGCCATTACTAAATCAACAGTCACATTTCTGAGCTTGGGTCACCTGTGGTAGGAAGACCTCACCGTCCTGTTCAAGAGATTGAAGGATGACCAAATTTATCAATCACTTGTCTGTTTTACCATCAGTCCCTTGGTATTATAATCTGGGAAGAGTTGACCAAGCCTTATCAAAACTGATTGCTTGTCAAATACAGAGCCTACTAAGTGCATCCAAAATTTCAATGTATAGTTCCAGAAAATATCTATACCTCCCTCTGGAAATTCCAACCAAGCTTCATACATTTCTATAAGTATTTTGGTCTTCCAGAAACCCCCACCCCGCAGGAAGTTCCAATTGCTTCTGTGGAGGGAGTATGGATATTTTCTGGAACTGTACAATATTTTGATGACCTTTTGGTTTTCATGACCTTTTTTGCAACTTTTCCCTGATGAGCATATGTCACTGTGGGCTCAGAAAATTATACCACATGCAAATTTGTCCACAACCTTGTCCACAAAAAAGATGCAGTGAAAGAGGTACCATTTTGCTTACAGTCAAGATATAGTAGCATCAATCCTCGTTCCGATTCCGGAGTCCATTCCTATTTCCTCCGCTTTACTGTTAACCTCGTTTCCATGTCGGTGAGCATTTTTTTTCGTGCATGCGCACCAGTGTTCTCTCTCTTGCTTCAACTCTTCGTTCAGAACAGAAAGGTAATGGAATAACGACTGAAATTTCTCTTTTTTTCTTTTATGATGGTGTTGATTTGCATCTAACTTCCTCTAATTTGTCGTTTGTTTTAAGATGAGTCAGTCTGTACAAGTTTTCGGGCGAAAGGTACGTGTAAAACTAGCGATTTATCGTGAAGAATGTTGACTTAGCTAACACGTGCATATAATTTTAAACATGGCGGCAGTGAAATTGATGAAATTCGGAGACGATTAAATTTTGTGTAATTTTGTCAAGTAGAGTGGATTTGAATTTGATCTATTGGTCATTAGTTATAGCGACCGGCTCTTTCTGTTCCTGGTAAACATGTGTATTGTCTAGAAGACCGAGCTTGAAGATGTTTTCCAGTTTTCACCTCTTCTGTTATCAGATGCGCGATCAAAACCAGGGATGTATTCTAAGTAGCTTCATGGAAAGAAGGAGAAAAATTGGTTAGCGTTTACATGGGTGCTTCAAGTTCAATGAGCATCTAATTTTACGATAAACTCTAGTATAAACGTCGATTATAAACTCTTGAAAAAGGTATGGTTCTGTAGTTATGTGTGTTGGTCCTTTCCCCTTTCAAATTTCAGCCCCGACCATCTACAATGTTCATATACAATGCATATTTTCAAAATAATTTTCTAAGGGCTAGTAATCTACTTTGAAATTATTTGCTCAGATACAGCTCTTGTGTTGCTATATCCATGTGATAATTATTAGAAAACCAGACTATTTTGATCTTACTTTGTTATGTTTTGACCACATCAACATGCAACTCAGAATGCTTATTCAAATTCAGAATAGAAACTATTCAAGAATGATGCATAAACAATAACTGCCATTCTTCGTTGCTTAAGCTCCCTATTATTCATCTTAAATGCACATGTTCTTATCATGCTTGTTGTCTGGTCCTAGAAAACCGCCACAGCTGTTGCCTTCTGTAAGCGTGGCAATGGAATCATCAAGATAAATGGATGTCCTTTACATTTAGTTGAACCATCAACTCTCCGATACAAGGTATGTGTAAAAGACTAATCTGCTGTGTAGTCGCAAGGCAACTCTCCTAAAAGTACTAGTAGAACTGTAGAGAAATGTCACAAATCGCACTGTGCAAAAGTCAACCAACAACATTTTTAAACTTTTCCTCCCTGAGACAAGAAGCATAAGCCATAGTTGTATTTTTTCTGAGTGCTGTTGTCTCTTCTGGGTTCTTCAACAATTAAGCATATTCCGAAGGTTTTCTCTGATAGAGCAGGCATTGGTAATATGTAAGGAGAATGGCTCATGTATTTTCTGTCTTCACAACAGGTTCAGGAGCCCATTCTTCTTCTGGGCAAAGAGAGGTTTGAGGGTGTGGATATCCGAGTCAGAGTGAAGGGTGGTGGTCATGTCTCCAGGATTTATGGTACGTTTAACATGGTCAGCTACCACTGTATTCTAAACTACTTATTAGAGGTTACTACAGAGAAGAATCAAGACTAAACCTTGGGAAATGTTTCAACTCTTGCTTTAAAAATGTTTACTTCAGAGATGTTTTCATTTTAGTTAGGAGATCATCTCAAAGTCTTGGAATGATCTTAGGAGAAAGAAAATATGATGGGAATTGGACACAATGTAACTTCAATCAAATTTAGTAGTTGTTTGCCCATCTAAAGTGTTGGACAAGTGTTATTCCTTTAGCAGTGACTCATCATTGTAAAAGTTACCAGAAAACAAGGAGATAAAAGCTGTTGTCGTCTTCTTTTTGTGTAGCTATTCGTCAAGCCATCTCCAAGGCCTTGGTAGCTTACTACCAGAAATGTGAGTATGATAATTAATAGAGTTTAAATTGTGATAGCACTTACTTATATTTCTCTGGCCAGTGAGTGGTACAGTATCACTTTTAGCTGTGGTATCTGTTGTGCCTTTGGGCCTGGGATTCCTGTAGTTTTGTGTTAGCACTCCATGGCTTAGTACATCATTTGCACCAGTATCACAAGGGTTTAAATCTCTCGAATCGCTTCATTTTCTCTGAGACCACGCTTCACAACTATTGAGTCAACATTCTATTACACAATAAATTTTTGTCCTCTATTTCATGATTGAGATTGCAATATCATTCAACTGTGCAAGTAATCAAAATTAAATTTCTCTTTTTCAAACCAACACATTGTTGGAGGCAGTGCTCAGAGCAGAGGCAGTGTGGCCAAGTGGTTAGGTTGCCAGACATGAAATCCAGAGGTTGCGGGTTCAAGTCCTGCTCTGATCACTAAGCTGGAGTTGTTTCTCGGTAGACCCTAGTTCAACTCCTTGGTCGTGCTTGTAAATAGCTAAGGTCTGCTTCCTTCCAGTTGGGATTTTTAACCATGTTATGTTCATTTGCATTACTTTAAGGTTTTATATAAATCTTTTTATTATTATTATTTATTATTATTATTAGTATTATTATTTATTATTTATTATTATTGTTATTGTTATTGTTGTTATTGTTAGTGTTATGGTTATTATTATTATTAGTATTATTATTTGTTTCATCATTTGTTTCCATTGGCCCTGAAAAGCCTCATTGAGGGAGTAGTCAATTAAGATATTTATTCTTTTGTTACAGTGTGTACATTGTCAAGACGTGAATTGAGGAGAATATATATAAAAAATAATTTTGACTGACACAAGCTTGATGTGCCACTAAATTCTTAGAACGAACCAGAAGTAAAGAGAATTGATATTTCATATTTGCCATTTTCAGATGTGGATGAGGTCTCCAAGAAAGAGATTCGCGACATTCTCGTGCAGTATGACCGCTCACTTCTGGTGGCTGATCCACGCCGTGCAGAGGCTAAGAAATTCGGTGGACCTGGAGCGCGCTCGCGTTACCAGAAGTCTTACCGTTAACTTTTTATTCACATGGAGTTGAAATTCAATAAAGTGTACTAATTTGAGGAAGCTTTTGCAGTTGCTTCGTTCTTCAGCTATTACCGTCAAGAAAATAGAGTGCTTTCATTTCTAAACTGACCGACCGACTTCCAAATACGTGAGAGAGGGTGATTTTGGAGGTTCCGTCCACACTAAGCCGAAGAAATTTAAATTCTATGGTTAGGCCTAACGTCCACACTTATCCGGAGAAATTGTCCACCGAAAACGAAAACGCTCTTCAAACCGGGGTGAATTTGAAAACGCCAGCTTTTCGTGTGGACGGAAAACATTTTGAAAACGGAGCTTTTCGAAAACGATGACGTCACAATAGTCATGTGATTAACCCTTGAGGGTGTACTCAAGCATTTCTGCCGCCGGTGATTGTTGCGTTTTCAAGTTTTTCCGGCGTAGAGTGGACGGAAAACATTTGGTGTGTTTCTGAGTGAAAATACCGATTTCAAATTTCTCCAGCGTAGGGTGGACGGACAAATTTGATGCGTTTTCAGAGTGAAAACACCGCTCTCAAATTTCTACGGCGTAGTCTAGATGGGACCTTAAAATCACAATCGTTCTGATGTGTCTTTCGTCAATTTCGACTCGCGAGTCAAAAGGTGTAAAATACTCTAAATGTTTCAAAATGTGACAGGAGAACACAAAACAATTTACCCAGGTGGTTTTTAATGCCTGTAATGCGATATCAGAAATACACTCATTACCTTCATTAGAATCGAAATTATTTCAAAAAAATAATGAAGTTAACCTCGATATAATAAATTACCATGAACACAGCTTATCAGTGACTGAGCAGATATGCAGAAAGACACGCTGATTAGATCGAAAATTCCCAATTGGTTTAAAATAACTACAAACATCAAAATAAAACAATTATTAAACTCCAAAGCTCGCTGTCCAAAATCTTTGTTTACAGTCGACGAACCGGTTTCAGCATCAGCGGTTAATTCACACAGAAACAATGATCAGTGAAAAAAAGCCCGGAGCTACATTTTAAAATTATTCGGAACAGCTGCAAATGGGTTCTCCATCTCATTTGCTGGAAAAAATGGCAACCCATCCTGCCACAGAGGCTAATTAATTTTTATAACGAGTGTAATCTTCGTCAGCGACAGAAATAACACGATCATAACACGACCACCGTGCTCTTGCAAAAGTAATCGTGATAGATACAATTCAAAACGAATCGCAAAACCCATATCGAATACAAACTTAAACAATATTTTGCTTGATAAAGACAAATAAATCTCATTGAAGACTAAATACGCCAACGGACTAAAACAGGCTCTAACCAAGCCACGCTTTACGTTTTGAATTCTTTTTTAACGCTTTTTTCGATAAATGTAAAAAAAATTCACAGTCGGTCACTTCACTGTTTTATCAACAAATCTATCTCTTTTTCTTCACATGCTTAATAGGAAGACAAAAAGGTATATATAAGCTAACTATGATATAAGCGTTGTTTTTTCGCGAAATAAAAGCCCACAAGATTTTCACCTTGTACTAAAGGTGCTTTATTCAAGATTACAAACGAGATAACATTTCTAACGGGAATGCTTGCAAAAAGATGTAAAAGAGATGTACCAAAGTCGTGTATTTAGGAAGCTGGAATCTTACACCGCAAACCCGTTTACAAAAGAGCGCTGTATAATCAACATCACATTAAAAATTTCACTGACAAGTTGCCGGAAAGTTAAAAATGTTTTACACTTTGCCGGCAAAAATAGTTTGTTCTCGGTGGCTATAAATAACAGCTTATAAAATGTGTCTTGTAGCGTTTGATAACCACACCATGAATATGGATGTTGGAACATCTTGAGACAATCATCACCTGCTCCTGAAAAGCGATAAAAACAAATGCAGAAAACTCCATGTCTTTCTGTCATTCGAATGTACAAATTTGACTCCAGAGAACTTAAAGTGCTCCTTCGTTAGATTTTCCCGTGAAATTAACGCGGTTCATAATTGACGCCATGGCTATTTCCAGGTTTTCGACCTTGAGGGTTTTGAAACCCGAAGAAGGGTCTCCCCCAAAATAAATGTCTCGTTCAAACACAAGGTTTGTGCCAGACGATCCAAAAATAAATAACATTTGTCAAATTTTGAAGGCGTTCAAGCAAGCAAATTGCGCCTACAATCAGTGTACAAAAATATCACGTCTTTTCCTCCGTGCTTCCTTTCGAGTCAGTTTCTACAGTATCTTTGTGGAACACGCACTCGCCGCTTTGTTCGGAGTCGCCGCATTTGCAGTGTATGTCCGGGCAAGCGTCCCTTCGGCCTTTCCGAGAACATTTTTGAAATTCACCGTCATCAAGTGGTTCTTCGGCTTCCGTGTTTTCATCGCCGTCGGCTTGCTTCTCCGTTTCGTTGCTGGCGGGCTCCATTTTTCAATTTTCTTCATGGAGAATTGAACTTGTCCCGATTGCGGAAAACTTTCGCCAGTGTCGTTTGATTTTGCGATCACTGACTGAAGTCCCCGCTATTGAAAATTTTCGTCCGTAAAGATTTTCTTCGCTTTTGCTTTCCCTTTCTTGGGTCAGCGAGGAGATCTTGTATACAATTTAATTCGTACTGCCGAAAAATCTGAGTGGAACTAAACATACAGGACAAGATAAGCTCACAATGTCTTCCAGCACTTTCCAAATTTTCTCCATGTCCGCGATACGCTAATAAATTTATGTACGATGGTTACCTCTTAATTTGGGTATTACGAAAATGCGAATATTTGTCCTGGCTGTGTGCGCTTTAGGAGAGTTCACTGGTAAATCAGAGCATTGTAGCGAGGCAAAAACCACTTAGGAAAGGGAACCTTTTAATTAAACACGGAAAGTGACAGCGGAAATACAGCGGGACAATTAAAAGTGGTTGCTATGAAGGGAATAGGCCAGCGTGCGTCCAGCCATGCAAAATGGAAAAAAGTGTTTTCGGAATCCCGCATTGAAACACCTGCCACAAATCTTCTCCACAGCGTTGACAATCAATTGCCAACAAACCATGTCTTTTCACTGGGTTACCTTCGTCATGGTTGCTATAGAAACATTTTCTTTTGCTTTGTCTCACTGATTCAACCGTGAATACACAGATAAGCAGTTTAGAAGATACGGCTAAATTATATTTTTGGTAATACTATATATAACTGTCTTTCTTTTTTAGAGTTGCTATTTATACATAAAAAAAAAACGATCAAGGACTTTTCATCTGCCCGATACCCTGAGCTAAAAGGTGTTCAAGGTAAAATGTTGAATTTATTTAGCGTGCGGGTTTGTCTTCACAAGAAAGATTACAAATTTGTTAAATTACACCGTGGCTACATGGCGGACGTAAACTCCATGATAAGGTTAATTTTGTTGTTTCTTTACCTCATTAGAATCTAGAGATAAATTAAGAGAACAATCGCACACATATTACAGATTACAATTTTTCCGCGGTTGGTTTTTCTTTTTCTTTTTTTTCCTAGCCATGTCCAGAAGACTTCTTTTCCTTCCAGATGTATGATATATCACCATAGCACACTAAAACAGATTTCACTCTGCATTAGTATTTATTATCTGGATCGACCAGTTTCCCGAAATAGTCAAGGGCGAATAAAGCCTCTTCTAATTTTCCACTGATTGTTGTTTAAATCAAAACCAAAACATTACAGTCAGTAATAAACCAAAAAAATGTCCATGGTAAGAGAATTAACTGATGGTTTGCAAACGCGGGAAAGGCACATCACGTGTTACTGTTGGTTTACATCGACTGGTGTTGGTTTTGCATCACGTGGCAGTGTTGGATGCAGCTTTACTCTGATTGGTTCAGAATATAGTACGCGTGCTGTATTGAACCAATCGCAAGTGACCATAATTGGAAAACCATCCTCGCAGTCTGGTTAGTTGAGCTTTCCGGCCGCCGAACAAGACGATTCTTGCAGTATTTTGAGCCAGAAATCACCAAACCGAACGAACAGGTGAGGGAACCAATCTTATATACGTTCAGTGGTGCTGAATTAAATTTTCTCATTCACAATATTCACAATATTTTCTGATTCATTATCCCAGAAGTTAACTGGCATGTTTCACGTCTGCTGCAAGTCGGCTAACAGTTCGTCGAATTTGAAGGCATTCTCACGAAAACCGCAAAGTTCCCCGTCCAAACGTTCCTAGGATAGCAAAAACCAAAAAAGGTATAACTTAAAGCGCTATTTCATGTAATCTCAAGTCATTTTTATCGCGTATGGCAGAACCCCGAAATAACGAGCTGTGTGTATCGATAAGGCTCGACCGGGACCAGACACCGAACAAGAAAAGGCTCTGGCATCCAGGTCATGTAAAATGGCTTACTACATGTACATAACTGAGAAAATTACTTCATTGTGATTGGCTGAGAGAACCAATTCGTGCAAATTAACGCGCGCGCTTTTGATTTTCCCAGTCGTAAACACAAATTTTGCATGTGAAATTACAAAACTAAAACTCAACTTCGATGTTCCTTTCACCGATGCTACCTGCAATTGATTCCAAGGAATGTGCGAGATGGAAAAACCCTTGAAACAGAGAATGCTTGCGATACCGGTACTGTTCATAATGCGTATCTACTTGAACTTACCATGACGTTATCCAATGACAGCACCTCGCTATCTTGGAACAGACTCAATGGTGGCGCAGTCTGGCATTCGCGAAAGAAGCTTCCAAGATCGCCGGTTGACGTTCCCGAGTGTGATGCAAATGCTGGTTTCTGGGACAAACAACGGATTACGCAGGATTAGAGCGAGATTCAAAGAACTTTGAAAATAAGTTATGTTACTACAGCTTTGAAATGTATAAAATTGTTCATTGAACTCATGTTTCACTGCTCTGACCAATCAGAGCAAAGGTGGTGTCTTCTCAACCAATCAAATGCAAAATGAAAACCACTTGCGCCTAGGAAACCGCGTCTTTTTCACAGCTACCGCGGGTCAATTGTTTTCTAGCGCTTGTTAGTGGTTACAAGTTTCCCGCGCAAAACTAGTGGTTGCACGTCTTCACGCGTTTGCCACAGGGTCTACAAATGTTTTTCCGCGCTTGGTAACAATCACATGTTTTTGCTTTGAATTCTTCCCCTTTACTGTACATTTTACGACCGTTCTGGATCTGTGATTGCTTATGGTTTAGGTTTAACACAATCATCAAAACTGCTTTCATATGACTGGTAAAACTGGCCCACTTTTTCGGGAAGATTTCTCGGTATCATCTCTGATTGGCCTTGCCTTACGTTGGAACTCAGATCTACACTCAATTATTCGTTACCAGTACTCACCAGTTCGACCATGACGAAGTCGTCGTCCCACCCTAGTAGATTGGGTGCTGGTGGTGCCTGCACTGTGGAAGGTCTGCCGCCTTCCAGTTTGTCAGACGAACTATCCTAGAATACACACCATCAAAAAAATTATCAAACTCTGAGCTTTGAGAATGCGTACCTGTAATTGGCCCGGAAAACTATGCCGTCCGGCTCTAACTCATCAGGTGTTTCAACAATTTAGCTAGCCTGCGAGGGCATATAATTCACGTTAGGATACATTAAGTCGTCTTCCCCTTCACACCTTAAATGGTAAACGCAAGCGAACAGCAGTAAATAAATGCTAACCGCAAGCAAACACAGAATATAAATGGTAACCGTAAGCAAACAGCAGTAAATAAATGCTAACCGCAAGCAAACACAGAATATAAATGGTAACCACAAGCAAACAGCAGTAAATAAATGCTAACCGCAAGAAAACAGCAGCAAATAAACGTTAGCCGCAAGCAAACAGAATATAAATGGTAACCGTAGGCAAACAGCAGTAAATAAATGCTAACCGTAAGCAAACAGCAGTAAATATGCTAAACGCAAGCAAACGGCAGTAAATAAAAGCAAACTATAGATGTGTCCTAAAATGAATTATATCCCGCTGCGAGAGTCATGCGGTTTTTTCGGCTCTTGTTTCACGCGCACATGTAACAAGAACCGAAAAAACCGGATACTCTTAGCCTGCTCGCAGGCTCACGTTGGAGCATAAGCGCGCGCGGCGTAGCCAGGAGCGTGAACCTGCTCGCAGGCTACAATTTAGCAAGAATCGCAAGAATGCTGATTTTCCTTTAAAACGATATTTCGATTTCATATGACTATTTTCTGTGCTATGTCCATGTTTGACTGGCATCAATCCAACTGCTAATTTAGATCTTCAAACAACATTTATCTATCATTCGATGTAGGTCGTACAGTGGTCGTGGCGGTAAACCAAATACAACAAAATACAGCATCTTACTAGACGGACAGAGAGAAAGAAATGATAAACACAAGAAAAGTAAGGAAATCTTGTTTCATTCCCAGTCCTTTCCCGTTGTAATGGGAGGATGTGGTTGCTTACCCTTCTCTGGAGTAATGTAGGTGAATTCTTGAGGTTGCTATCTGAAGGTAAACTGCATGGCTGGATGTCGTTTTCTTTTCTTAAAAGCGACGCAAATGGCGGAGTGGACGACAGGTTTGCGAGCATAGCCTGTGAGACATTAGGAAAACGATGAGACAAATCTATTGCAGTTTATCTCTTGTACATAATACCAGAAATTTAATGTTTCAGAGGTACAAAGCAAGCAAATGCCAGTTTTGTGTAAATCCTGAAACCACGCGATCAGCATTATCTACAGGTCGGCCAATTACTTGCGCAAAATGACGTTTCATGAACAGTGCACTTACAAGCACCGTCTCTGGGAATTGTCGCGGAACTCGTGGGTACATGCATCTGACAATTGTCGGAACTCGCGGGTATCCGGAGAGGAATAACTATTTAGCAAGTGGAGATGACACTAGTTTCCCTTATTGTTCATGTATTACTCAAAATTGTCATATAATAGATACAGGACGCATTTCTACTGATCTCTATAGACTTTGCGTTCCTGTTCCAATTATTGCTAATCACAATTTCATTCAGCATATTCTAGGCAATCAGAACAACGATGTTGGATTCTCGTGTGAAGGTTGATTTTCCCGCGGGAAGTTCCGATTGGTTAATATCACTATTTGTTGGTGATGTGATTGGCCAATCATTAACTAACGATTTTCTCCATTGTGTTCACAGAAATGCCTCCCAAAAAGGCCAGGACAGCGCCTAATTCATGTGCGTGGCGATTGATCCTTTGAGAAAACTACTCTACATTAAAAAAAGTAACTTACTATTTCCGGTGAGCTGTTGCTGCTCACAAAGGCTGCTTTAGTTCGAGTTTTAGCACAAGTAATTGGTTTAAAAGAACTTGCTGGTCTGTTGAGAAATACAAGTAAAAAAGATGTTGCTTTAAGAAAAAGAAACAATATGATAATATGTAATAAAACGAAGTACGACCGGGATAAAACTAAGAGACGTTTACTCAGTGAAATCAACATCGCGAAGTTCTGACTACAAATATTTAAGTAGGTTCAACTAGCGGGAGCGGGTCTCTAGAGAACGCACGTGCTGCTAAGTAATACAACGTAACTCATCTTATCATAACATAATATACTGAAAAAAAGAATGAATTCGGTTATTCAAATCTTATTTACCTGCTCATCCTTTGTTTTATTACGCCGCTATTTTCCTGAGAGAAGCGTCTTATTGAGGGAGGTGGAGTTGTGGAGCTGACCTTGTGAGCTGAAGATGGCGGAGTGTTTGAAGATAATGTTGAAGACTGAGTTACTTCAGTTTCTGTTGCACTGGCGATCTGCTCTGCAATGTGATGTCTAAGGAAAAAACAAGCACAAAGAGTAGTATCTGATGGTGGGGTTCTGAAACTGGAATTTCAGGAGGGGTGGGGTGGAAGGTTAAAAAACCAACAACAAAAAATTTTTTTATGGGGTAGGGGTATGGATATGTTTTGGAACAACCAAACCCATGATGAATTATGCACCCGAGGTGTATTTTTATTCTCTATCTACCAATCAAACATTGCATGATCAGGAAACTGAAAAAGTTGACCTTGTTACCATGTTCAGAGTCAATGAATTCTTGAAAATGGGATTTCAGTATCGACTGACAAAGACAGGTCTCTGTAGGTTAACAAACAAAAAGTTCTATCGCTGTACACGTAGATACCTGGCTTCAGCCGTCAAGTCAAACGTTCCATGCACGCCTGGAACACATGGCAGAGTACCATCTAGCTGATCTGACGGAACTCTGGTCAGCTCAGAGCTAAAGTGATTACTCTGCACCATAACTTGCTGTCTGAAACAAAAATAACAATAACAGTGTTGGATTTAAATAAATTAACCAAATATGATTAGTGAGATTAACAACTCGTTTTGCACTCACTTTTCTGGTAAAGTCAGCTTTGTTCTGTATGCAGCAGACAGAGTAATGGATCCCACAGGAGTACCAATAGAACCCACTCTCAAGGACTGGAAACCTTGATATAACAAAGTTAAAAATATGGAAAGATTAATTCTCGATACTGATTGCCACATACCACTGTATTTCTTTTACACCAGCAAGTCCTGAGAATTTGGTAGTAAATCAACACTGACATTAAATCGACTAGTAGTTGTCACCTACATTGTACAAACGGATCGGCTTGGTGATGCAATACACTAAGGCGATATTGGACAACTCATTATTACCAACAAGAGACTTCAAACTTAACTAGATATATGTTTATTGTCAGTAACAAAAATACAGCACTGGATATTTTCGTGTGCATAAAGATGAATCATATTTTTGAATATTTTTTTTAATGACCCTTTGACTCACCTTCTCCAAGCTCCTGAAATCTAACTTCACCAAAATACACCCTGAAAAAGAAAATCAAGTACATAACAAGTCTGTTTTGTGAGACTTAAAGCTACACAGTAACCAATGCAAATGTTGTCACAGGGTTGGGGGGTGGGGTGAAGATGGGCCTTTTTGTGTTAAATAAGCTGGGAGGTCGGTGCAGAATTAGTGGTCCTCTGGGCATATAAATTCACACTTTTTTAAGAAAAAGAAAAAAAAGGCAGTTATAGATCTACCACCTGCTAGAGTACACAAGTCCATGTAATAATACCATTTTCCAAAAGATCTTAATGGATTCAATATTGCCTTTCTTGCCCTTGTTGTGCAATCTTACTTGTAACACATCATGAAGTCTCTTCCTTGTTTGCGTGACAGTTGATAAGCTGGCGTGACCCGTGTCACAGATACAAGAGACTTGAGTAGCATTCCAATCCTGTTGTAAACTGTGTATGTCACTTTGGCATTTGGATCAACCCTGAAACAATCAGATTGCTAACAAAATTAAATGTGTCTATGGATTTATGTGGGAGGTGGGAGGCCTCGTGCTTAGTGCACTCGTCTCCAGATCAAGCAGTCCGGCTTTGAGCCCTGGCCAGGGACATTGTGTTGTTCTTGGGCAAGACACTTTACTCTCATGGGGCATCTCTCCAATCAGGTGTATAAATGAATACCGACAAACTTAAATGCTAGGGGGGTGGCCCTGTGAAGGACAAGCATCCCATCCAGGAGGGAGAAGAAATACNCCTGGAACACATGGCAGAGTACCATCTAGCTGATCTGACGGAACTCTGGTCAGCTCAGAGCTAAAGTGATTACTCTGCACCATAACTTGCTGTCTGAAACAAAAATAACAATAACAGTGTTGGATTTAAATAAATTAACCAAATATGATTAGTGAGATTAACAACTCGTTTTGCACTCACTTTTCTGGTAAAGTCAGCTTTGTTCTGTATGCAGCAGACAGAGTAATGGATCCCACAGGAGTACCAATAGAACCCACTCTCAAGGACTGGAAACCTGGATATAACAAAGTTAAAAATATGGAAAGATTAATTCTCGATACTGATTGCCACATACCACTGTATTTCTTTTACACCAGCAAGTCCTGAGAATTTGGTAGTAAATCAACACTGACATTAAATCGACTAGTAGTTGTCACCTACATTGTACAAACGGATCGGCTTGGTGATGCAATACACTAAGGCGATATTGGACAACTCATTATTACCAACAAGAGACTTCAAACTTAACTAGATATATGTTTATTGTCAGTAACAAAAATACAGCACTGGATATTTTCGTGTGCATAAAGATGAATCATATTTTTGAATATTTTTTTTAATGACCCTTTGACTCACCTTCTCCAAGCTCCTGAAATCTAACTTCACCAAAATACACCCTGAAAAAGAAAATCAAGTACATAACAAGTCTGTTTTGTGAGACTTAAAGCTACACAGTAACCAATGCAAATGTTGTCACAGGGTTGGGGGGTGGGGTGAAGATGGGCCTTTTTGTGTTAAATAAGCTGGGAGGTCGGTGCAGAATTAGTGGTCCTCTGGGCATATAAATTCACACTTTTTTAAGAAAAAGAAAAAAAAGGCAGTTATAGATCTACCACCTGCTAGAGTACACAAGTCCATGTAATAATACCATTTTCCAAAAGATCTTAATGGATTCAATATTGCCTTTCTTGCCCTTGTTGTGCAATCTTACTTGTAACACATCATGAAGTCTCTTCCTTGTTTGCGTGACAGTTGATAAGCTGGCGTGACCCGTGTCACAGATACAAGAGACTTGAGTAGCATTCCAATCCTGTTGTAAACTGTGTATGTCACTTTGGCATTTGGATCAACCCTGAAACAATCAGATTGCTAACAAAATTAAATGTGTCTATGGATTTATGTGGGAGGTGGGAGGCCTCGTGCTTAGTGCACTCGTCTCCAGATCAAGCAGTCCGGCTTTGAGCCCTGGCCAGGGACATTGTGTTGTTCTTGGGCAAGACACTTTACTCTCATGGGGCATCTCTCCAATCAGGTGTATAAATGAATACCGACAAACTTAAATGCTAGGGGGGTGGCCCTGTGAAGGACAAGCATCCCATCCAGGAGGGAGAAGAAATACTCCTGGTCACTTCATGATACAGAAACTGGGATGAACTCCAGCTTGGCTCAGATGCAGATTTTACCTTTTTACTTACTTATACATTAAAAGCATGCAAATAATTATATGAAAGATCTTGAATATTAGGATTAAACAAACTTGATGAGGACATTCTACATGTATGTACATGATTAGTCTTATAAGAAACCGATGGATAAGACACTCACTAACTAATACATAATATCAACAGTAAGTAATTAAGGGCTTTCTGAAATTAACATTTGTTGTGGTTACTAGGTGACTGTAAATGTGGTAACTATTGAACACTGAAGCAAAAAAGGAAAATCTAATTAGCGTCATTTGTTCAACAGGAAACTACAAGTACTGAGATGCATGTACAAACGTACCTGTCATTCATACCAAGACACCAAGTTTCTAACACCATCGTCTCTCCCTGTAGTAATAATATAGATTTAGCCAAGCCTAAAAGCAGAGCTCCCGGTTCGGGTTGTTAAAAGCCTGATTAAGCCAACCCAGGATAAGTGAGGATTTTGATTTTATTACCATTGATTGAGGGCATATAACTGCAGTTTTTAAGAGGTATCTATAAAGCACTAATTAAACTGTAGAACTTTGAAAGGTATGATTTCATTCATTTTCAAAGAGTCCGACCCATAGATTTTCTACACATGTACATTTTAACAGTTGCTCAGTTTTCCTTTAGCAGGGGTATACATACATGAAGATGACTGTGTGCCTGCATCACAGAAATCGTTTGCACAAAATTGTGACAAGTTTCTCCACTATTTGAGCAAACATGATGCTAGGGAAGGAGGAAGTTTTGATTTACTATCAGTGAAATGGACTATGAAGCACGCACATCCTATAAGATGTCAAGTATTTTGGTAAAATATAATTAACTTACTGAAGTGTACAATGACCTTACCTCACTGGTGTTCAGGGATATCTCTACACACATGGGACTCTCTTTAGAAGGAAGTCGACCATTTGCCATGACTTTCTTCACTTCGGAAGTCACATCAGGATGATCACTGATTGCAAGATTGAACTGAAAAGAAATATCACGCAATACTTACTGCAAGATCTGAACATGTGTAACTAGCACTGTACTCTTACATGCACCATAGTGGAATTTGATAGATATTTTAGCCTTTGATATGAGCGAAGGATTTATCAGTTGTAGCTACTCAGGAAAATTTAAATGTCGATTGATATCAAGGCTTAAAGCTCACCCAGTCTTGACCCATAGCATTTGGTTTGGACTTGGTGCGGATCTTTTCCCCAAGTCGTGACTGAACAATAACCTGCACAGCCTAAAATGGAAGCAAGGATTTATACCATTAGATCTCTGAGGAGCAAGTGTATATCATTATGAACATAATACACTTTGTACTGCTAACTTATTGCTTTAGGTATCTAAATTTTACCAATTACAAATTACTACAATGCTTTAAACCCCAATCTCAAAAATTCAACTCAGTTGAACCTAAAAAACTCCATTGCACATTCGCATGAAACATCAAATATGAGAAGCCCCCACCCCCCCACCCCATCTCTCCCCGACTCGGTGTACGTGTCACAGAAAACACCGACGTTAGCTGCCGGCGCCGGCCGGTTTCGGTTTCTACACTAATTTTAACAGCGTTTGAAACAAATGTAGCATTTATTTTGAAGAAGCGCAACTTATAATTAACAATCGTGAAACTTCCGCATTCGCTATAACAGTAAGTAACGTTACTTTGAACTTTTCAAATTTCGCGAGGATAAATCCCAAGTTTTATTCAAGCCGGAACTGTGACTGATGTCGAAGAATAAAATTGCAAAGAGATTTGCCCAAATAAAAGATTAAATACCTATTATCTTTCTTTTTCATGTCTTCAAGTATCAGAAAAAGTACTAGCGAAAGGCATGACGTTATACATGTAGACCTACAAGTTGGTATTGAACTGTGACAAAACCAAAACACCACAACAGGCAACGCAAGCATACATACCTTTTGGGATAGAAATTTCAGAAACTTCTTCAGATCTCGTTCTTCTTGAACTCCCACAGTCCTAGATCTCTCCTCCATTTCAACCATGAATATAATCTAGGTATAGCTCGATATAGAATGGGAAGAAGTTGTCACAAAATTAGAAAAAAACACAACTTCGTGTCACTTACGACCACCAGCTTCCGCCGCCATTGAAAACAACACTACACTAGTGCCAGACTCCAACCGTGAAATGACCACAGTTTTACTCGAGCAACGTGGCGGTTACGTGATCAAGTTACAGGCGATATTTGGCACCTTTCATATTTCATTTTGAAGAAAATCTCCCTCCTATGCAGCCACACACTTTCTAGTCCTTTCTTATTCCCTCTCTTCGACCTCTCAATGCGTTCCCTGGAAAGCTTACCGTTAGTTAACACTACCTTCCGTCAAGCAAACAAGAGCTGATAAACCTACTAAGCTATTGCCAGGTGGCTTGTGCACGTGACTTACGGAAGAACAGCAACCCTATATGGACCCAGATGATCGGACTTTTACGGAGAAAATCATTAAGTCAATTGTTCGCGAAGGAAGTGCGGTTTGACGGCTAATGAAAACGCTCTCTACCTGGTCTTTTAAGGCTCCGTCCACACCACGCCGAAGGAATTTGAAAACGCAATTTTATTTCTACCGTTAGGCCCCGGGGGCGGGGGGGGGGGGGG